ACTCTTCTACTTCTACTATCTACTCTTCTACTTCTACCTATCTACTCCTCTCCCTCCACCCCTCTCTGAACTCTCACTTTCAACTAATGACCCTCCTCGCTCCTCCCACCTCCCTACCTCTCACCCCAAATCCTCACTAATTACTTCACTATTCATTTCTTTCCTTTCGTTTTCTCGTATACGTTTGTGGCGATGATTCCGTATTCTAGAGTTCTCTCTAGAGTTTCGGGTAGCTGATCCAGTTACGACGCCTTGTAGTCTTAGCACCTAGGTAGTCAAATACCTAGGTTACAAGGTGTTGAACGAGAGAGGTTGCCTTAGGAACTCTGGAGGGTGCTCTAGAATAGTTAGCTAACTGGGGACGGGATAACGGACTAGAGAGAGCTGTTTCCCCCGGCCTCGTTAGTTAACTGGGGGGTGGAATAATGGACAAGATAGAGCTATTTCCCCAACTGCCCCGTTACAATTAAGGGTATGAGGAAGCAGGAATTCATACAGTTGAGGAAGCTAACAGCAGTAGGGTGTTCTGGCTCGCAGAGGTCAATATTAAAGTCCCCTGCAATAATTAGGTGGTTTTTGTTCAGTCAGTTATCAAGTATTAGATTTCTAAGGTTTGAGTTGAATTCGGACACATCAGTGTTAGGAATTCTATAAACTGCACCCACAGACAGGATAGACTCGGCACCCTTGACTCTGAAGCTGGCGAAGATATACTCCCCATAGCAGTCTCTAGTTCTAATTTCTTTTAAGCATGTTAGTTCTTGGTGGTAGTAAAGAGCAGTGCCACCACCTCTCTGAAGTTGACGACAGTTGTGGATTGCTGAGTAGTTAGGCATGTTAAAGAGTTGAGTAGTATCATCTTTCAACATGTTTCAGTAAGTATAATAAAAGAGAAATTGTTGTCAATAGCTTCAATCAAGGCACTAACATCATCGAAGTGTTTGCCTAGGGATCTAACGTTCAAATTGATTACAGAGATATTGTGACTATGAGTTAATACATTGTTTACATCATGTGCTGCAAAATATCTGCAATTTAGATCATTAAAGTGATTATTGTCATAGATAGTGGATAAGAGGTTAAGTTCTGGGTCTATACTTGACTGCATAAAAAAAAGCTGATTGCCGGAAAAACAAGAGAATGGCTTCTCTTGATGATGATGATGAAACAAGAGATGATGGCTTCAGGGTGGCCACTGCATGATTCAGGAACTCTAAAAGCTCTTCTAAGGTCATTGGTTGCTTCACATTCCAGAAGATAGTGAAGTAATGGCTTTTCTGTGACAGTTTGGCAGAAGATGCACTCTCTCTGTCGGGGTTCACCAATCTCCCAGTTGCATCTGTAACCTAGACGTAGTCTATATAACCTAACTGCTATTTCCCTGTGGATTCATTTTGGGATATTTAACCTTTCTAATTTGGTTGCCTGAAGATACCATGTTGCAAATGGCGAACCTTCAGCTATTCTCTGGTGTAGGTAGGCTTCGTTGAGATGTGAGTTTTTTGGTGATGATGTTTTTTATGTTCTCTAGGCTGGGTTGAATTGTTTTATGTATCACTGGATGACGAGTTGCCAATTTAGCAATTTCACCAGCTTTTTCATTTAATGGGATTCCAATATGGGATGGGATCCAGTTTAAGGTTATGTTGAGTCCTTTGCCTTTAGCGACTGCTCCAAGATACAAAATGGTGGTAATTATTTCCACATTATCTTTCCACTGTTTTTGTCCTAGTATTTGAAGTGCAGCTTTTGAGTCTGTGTGTATGATTGCATTTTGAGTGTTTTGTGCAATTACATATGCGAATGCCTGTTGTATGGCAAACAGCTCAGTTTGAGTTGATGATACTAGTCCTCCCAGTCTCCAATATGCCTGTACGCTGGCCCAGCAAAGAGCAGCGCCAGCACTCATATTCTGTGTCCACCGATCCGTCTGTGAAGATGTGGGTGGCTCCTGCTGCTGCTATGCTATACATTTGCTCTTCTATTATGCACCTAATTAGGATTGTTGGATCATAGGCCGCCTTTTTCATTGGGAGACTTTCTATTACTATTTTGAAAGTAGGCTCTTCCCACGGTGCGGAAGGAGTGTAATTTGGGTGTGGATGATCACCCTCTCTATCACGAATCATGCTTTTTAAATGTAGTCTGTTTATGACTTTTCCTGCTCTTGCAGCCCAAGAGTTTCCATTGTTTTGGCCTAGTCCAACCACCAAGGCCTGCCGTACTGGGATTGGATCAGAAGAAATAATTATCTTACTGACAATTGTAGCTGTCCCTTGTGATATTCTTTCTTGTAGAGAGGGCAAACCCGTCTCCAGTTTAAGTTTCAAGCCTGGTCTACATGGGGGCTCCCAGTGCGGCTCTCATAGCATTGTTTTGGGCAACCTCAAGCTTTTTCTACTGTTGGTGTGATAGATTTGTGAGTGCAGGTGCGGCATAATCGATCACTGATCTGACTGCCTGTACATAGTATGTGCGAAGGACTTGCAGATTGGCTACTCCAGAAAGGGAGGTTAGCGACCTGAGGATTGCCGTCCGGGCCGCAATTCGCTCTCTCAAGTAAGTGACCTCAGTATTAAAATTCATGTGTGTGTCCAGGATGATACTGATAGGTGTCGACCCATTCAATTGGTTGACCCTGTACTGTGAGTTGGATGTTGGGCTTCGCTATTTTTATGGGCATGGCCTTTGACTTTGAGGGGTTGAGTTTGACCCCAATCTGTTTTGCCTCTTTACTTATGCAGTCTAAGCATTTGGGTGCAAGGCGCGCCGCATCCCTTCCTGTGAAGAGGAGGTAGAGACAGGCAATAAATAGGCAAGAGAGAGCTGAGGAGCAAAGTATACAGACACCTACAGATTATCTACAAATCCCAGAATTTGTCCTTTATCTACAAATCATTCTCTCGCCTTGGTTATCCTTTGCATTTCATTAACTGTGCTTACTCTCAAGCTAAACGAAATTTCTTTCATCCTAAACCTCCTTCCAACACTAGTAGCACTGTACTATGCCTTCCCTTCATATCTGAACTCAAAACTTTTACCAATACCTTTCGTCCTTTTGACATTAAACTCACCTTTCGACAAACTAGCACACTTCGTAGCAATCTAGTTCACACTGCTCCTCCTGCTTACAATGCTGCTGGTGTCTACTCTATTTCTTGTTCATCTTGTCCTCTCCAATACTTAGGCGAAACTGGCCGTACACTGAATGACAGACGACAGACTTAAAGAACACAAGAGAAGTGTTAAGTCTGCAGACACTAACAATGCTCTCTTCTGCCATGTGAGGGATTCTAATCATCCCATTGATTGATCTTCCTCCAAAATAATCTTTCCTGCCTCTACTCTTCACAGACGCCGTCTTGTAGAATCGGTTCTGATACACAATGTACCCAACATGAACTTGAGTCCTGGCTTTGTTGCTGTGGACTTCTCTTTCACAGTATATACTCAAATGCTCTAATCTTTCCAACAAACGTGACAACATAAGCTTACCCCTTCCATTTATCCTTCTTTCTCTTTCCTTTTCATCTTCTCCCCTTTTTCTGTTCATTGTCTTCTCCTACGCTCCCTTGCTATCCTCCTCTTATTCCTATTACTATCTCCTCATTCGGGGCTTATAATAGGAGCTGCCTCGTATGGGCCAATAAGCCCTCTGCAGTTCTCATTATTACTACTATCCCCTACACCTTACTTTTCTCCTCAGCTCTCTCTTGCCTATTTATTACCTGTCTCTACCTCCTCTCTCATCACCGCTCCTGTGCCAGGTAAGTCCACTACGGGCTCACCATAGCCCATGCTACTTGCCCCGCTCCTGTGCCAGGTAAGTTACGGGCTCACCATAGCCCGTGCTACTTGCCCCGCTCCTGTGCCAGGTAAGTTACGGGCTCACCATAGCCCGTGCTACTTGGAACTTGTTCAGAGTAGCTGAATCTATAACAACAACAACATACCTCCTCTTCACAATCGACTTGAGAATGGTCTAGGACGGACCGAAACGTCGTCGTCCCTTCAACTTCTAGTGTGTGGTCTGGTCAACATACTTCAGCCACGTTATTGTGACTCATCGCCTGAATCAAATAATCAGTAAGGACAAACGATTTAAATGTGAGCACAGCACGCAGTACTGTATATCCTTTTACGACCCAAGATCCCATTTACTAAAAAGAAAAAATCTACCACTTGCTCATGCCTGTGCTATCTCTATCTAATCTTCATCAATCAATCAATCGAATTAGCAGCTATTGAGTACTCTTATTAATAAGGAAAGATTCCAGAAGCAGCATCCTGCTGCCAAACTAATTTTCGACTTCCACTGACTACTACTGGAGCTGAGGAATTAGTTATCCATGCCCAGGATCGAGTCTTCCAGAGGTAAATGGAATGTTTATTTCCACGGAAGTGTGGATGACAATTATATGACGTGGGCGTGGATCACTAACGCCTCTGAGCTTCAGTAGTAGTCAAGGGAAGTAAAAAATTCCAGTTCAGTTTGGCAGAAGGTTGCTGCTTCTGAAGGTTAGTAGCAGGATGAACATAAGAACAAAGGTAACTGCAGAAGGTCTATTGGCCCAACCTGCAAGCACCACAAGTCTGGCTGATCACACCAACTAGGTGGTCTGGTCAGACGGGGCTACGAGTGCTGTAACCCTCAGAACAATAACAAGATAACCACAAGGTAGGTGGCACTATTACTACAATGACCTAGGAACTCAATAGAATGAAATGTGGTCTCTCCCTACAATGGCATTGACTTTAAGACTCAAAACCTTGAAATCCAAGGTATGCTAATCACTATTCATAATATGGTTAAGTATCAAAAGAAAGTGCCAAGCTTGGTACTTTTTAGCACCACTCGTTTCATACAATATTCAAAATTAAAATGTTTATGAAAAATAAATATGGCAAGAAGAAATTCAATATAATGCATTTGCTATATTATCAAAGTTTTTATTCATAAATACAAGAATATTGTTGTAAAATGTTAAGTAAAGACTTCATTACATTAATATTTTAATTTACATATACATTCCTCAGTTCACTTTATATAAACTATGTTTAATAATGAAAACCACTAATTTAGTGGGAACATTCACAGAAGTTTAATAATGAATGATCTCTCTCCATTATAACCACACATACCACAACTTTTACAGGCTTGAGGATAACTATACATCTTTTATAAATACAACAGTCTAGACAGCTTGACTGAGAAGTGAAGTAAACTTGTTGATCTTGGAAGCCATCGACATGTCTATGTACTTATCACCAATTGAAACCAACATGCCACCAATGATTGATGGATCAACCTTCAAATTCAGCTGAAGGCTCTGTCCTGGCTGCAGGAATGCTTTAAGTGATGACTCTAGTTCTTTCTTGGCAGCAGCATCCAAGGGCTGAAAATTAAAATGTATATAATACAGTATTTAAATAATTCTTGAAGTTTTCAACTTGGTTAATTCATATGACAGTATATGTAGATGATGGTGATTAACATTTGTATATACTGTACTGTATATATTGAATGTGTTGCACCTTTAGATTAGAATACTTTTGAAGCTTTATTTCTTCAAAAGTATAGAAATTATAGGCATGAAAACAGGAATTTGGGAATCCACATTGAAGACTGGACTTCTGATAAGGAATTGGAACATATGATGGGCATGCAGTTAGCATGTTATGATTTAACACCTGTAAATTTTGGGTAACAATTCATGAAATGTAATACAACCACCATATTTTGTCTTAATTTTACCAAAGCTACAGAAAATCCACACAGAATAATTTACTTATTTTATTAACTGAATAACTGAATTATTAACAGACTGTGTGGGATGTATGTCTGTTAAGCTTTTCTAAGTCAATACCTTACCTTGAGAGATGATTTTGGGGCTTAGCGTTCATGCGGCACGGTCCTTGACCAGGCCTCCTTGACCTTCATTGGTTGGATATAATTTACCAGCCTATCTTGTTGTTTATTGTACTTGATCGTATTATGTATTAATGTTAGGTTGAACTTCTATAAGTTTGCCATTGAGTATGTAGCATCTGTTATAACAATATCCCAAATTATTTCTTCATTATTTCTGAAGCTCAAATCAAGAGTATTATTATTTCCAGTTGCCTCTTATCTGTTGAGTGAACATAAATTTGTAACCAAGTCAAAAATTATCTATGACCTGAGTTTAGCTAATTCCAGCTAGATTCCCTGATACAATATTATTGTTTGTTATCCTGCATCATAAACTGGGTAGAGTGAAGTCTCCAAGGAAGATGGTACTGACACAAAATTTTTCAGATTAAGACTATTTTATTAACAATTATACCTTGAGGTTTGTAAATTATGGCGAGTGAAGTGGTTGGTGAAGCATAATTACAGGATAGGAGCTATGCTTGTAGTGTCCAGTCTTCCCAATACTGTACTCCGTCAAATAACGCTTTGCAACTACTGATAGTTTTGGCCTCCACCACCACCTCACTACTCTGTTTGTAAAAGAAAATTTTGATATTTTTTTTGGCCCCTTTTGTTTCCTTAGCTTGAATCTGTGTCCTCTTGTTCTTGAAGTTGCTGGTTTCAGGAATTCCTCTTTGTCAATTTGGTTGACTACTGTTATTATTTTGTAAGTGGTGATCATACCACCTCAATTTCTTGTATCTTCTAACTTTGGCATATTTAATGCCACTAGCCTCTCCTGGTAACTCTTATTTTTCAGTTCCAGAAGCCATTTTGTAGCATGCCTTTGCACCTTTTCCGGTTTATTGATGTACGTCTTGAGATATGGGCACCATACAACTGCTGCATATTCCAATTTTGGTCTCATAAATGTCATAAACAGTTTCTTTAGTATTTCACCATCCATGTAATTAATTAAAAGCAAGTCTGAAGTTGGAAAGTGTCACATATGCTCCTCGCACAGTTATAGTGATTGCAGTGTAGTATAGTTATAGTATAGCAGTTATAGTATAGCAGTTACGGTGATTACAGTAGTTAGTATAGCAGTTATGGTGATCACACTTAATATAGCGCTATAGCAGATATGATGATTGCAGTGGTTGGTATAGCATTACAGCAGTTATGGTGATTGCAGTGATTGGTATAGCAGTTATGGTGATCATAATGGTTGGTATAGTAGTTATGGTGATTGTAGTAGTTCTAGTGGTGGCAGCAGTGGTGGTTGTAAAATTAAAAAAATAATAAAAATAATAATGTAAAAAATGTATAAGTCTATAAGGGATAATGAACAGGCTAAAAGGTAAAGATAGACCAACATGAAAGGCTTTACTTGAATGGGGTACAAATCAGCAGCAGCAGATGGATATAACAACAAGCAACCATAAGCATCATGAAGTGTCTTAAAATTTATTAAAAAATATGAAGTACCTTAGGGATTAGGTAGAGATAAGTACAGCTTCCAGATGCTGATTATCTTACAACACTTATACTCATAACAAAGCATCATTCAGACTAACCTTAGCAGTAGTGACTTCACACACTATTTCACCTCGAACTGCAGCCATGATGATTGCAAATGCATTAATGACGGCTTCTATATTGGACATGCGCCCATTTTCTGCAAGCACACCTGTTAAAATAAGAAAGATTAAATACAAGGCAAATGTAAAGAAAATAGACAATAAGTGATTTAATAAAACACCTTTAGTACCACTGGCACAACATACAATAAAATACATACAAAAGCATTGTCGACTATATAAAATAAATTACAAGAACACAAATTTGGGGGAAAAAAAAAAGTTCAAAATAGTACTAACAAAATTACTTGAATACTAACAGGCAAAATTATAAATAAGAAAAATATAATTAGAAAATCACTAACACTAAAGCTGTAGCCAGTCTCCTTGACTAAATGAAATATTCCACTTAACAGGAAGAAAACCCCTCACTCAGCAGGATTACCTATAAAGTGTACTCTACTTTATGGCTTTAACAATCTGGAAGTTCCTAAAGTTCTCCACACTTATTGAAACCCACAATCACCACAGCTAGTTAATAGTGCACTCAACCGAGCATAAAAACAGTAAATGGCCAGGCACAAACAGCCCTTTTATGATCTCCCTTAGCATCTTCAGGCTGAGCAGATGCTCTATGAGCCAGAGCCATTAAGGTTCATGCAGGATTCCTGTACCTCACAAGGCTTTAGTTGGCCTTCATCACTCATCTCTATAGTCATAGTGGCTTAGCACTTTCTCCTAATAATTACATTACCCCCTCCTCCACCCATAACGAAGATCTGTGCAAATGGGCGAGTCACGAAAATTTGGGGAAGGGAGACAGTAGTAAACTGAAGCCACCACAGAGGGGGGCCAACTTGCTATAAAAGTGTGAGCAATACTGTATACTGTATTACATTCAACACCCCTTGTAACTACTAATCAAATACCTATTCTAATATATTTTTTTATATATATGCTATTATGCATTTGTAATATCAATTTTTTTTTAATTTTATTGCATATATAAAGCCCTCTTTTTCTTTTTATACATGAACAGTACTGTACTGTAATAAAATTGACAAATATTTCTTTACCAATTATGCTTATTGGCTGCATTTATAATGATAATATATCTTTAGTTACTTGGACCATATTTTCTTTCTATTAGAAAATTACTTTTTTTTGTGTATGGCATACCTGGAAATAGGTAATTCTCATACAAGAAATTTAATAAAACATGCAAATCAATTTTTTATTTTTAGCTGCATAATGACCCAAGATGGGAAGGAAATAAGGCAGCATCTGAGAGGCTGCAATGAAAGTTAAATGGAACACCAATCACAAACCAGTCTTTTACCTCACATATGTAAAACCTAAACTCACTGAATAATTCACTATCACATCATATGCCACAAAGACGATTCATAATCAATAACATCAATTTGAATTCTCATAAAGTCTTTTGTCACTTTTGGAAATAGATACACCATACCATAATTATCAAAACATTTTTTCATTTTGCTTCTCCTGTGCTACACTCTCATTCCTCATGCTAGAACACAATTCAAAACTGTTCACTCTCTACAAATTAACAAACCAGAATTTGACTTACCAAACAGGTTTACTGTAAGTGGATTGGCACTCTTCTTAGCCAACACTGAATCAATGGCACTCTTCTTGAGCTCCTTGCTGAGAAGGGGATTTATAAGGAACTCCTTAAGCTGGGAATCTACCTTCAAAAGTTCCTGCAGAGCAATAGTAATAAAAGGAAGCAGATCTCCCAAAAAACAGAGTATTATTCAAGGTCACAAAGTAAATTCTGGATGATATATTCAAATGTCAATAAACATAATGCACTGGCAAGGTTAGAGAGAGAGAGAAATCATAGCGAGAAATTCTGGGAAATTGTGTACAAGGACACAGACACAGTGATACTGTAATTTATTCCTCAGTTAAAGGCAAATTTACCAAGACTAAAAAATAAAGAGCTCTATTATTTTCAACTTACAGAAAATGTTTTCATATCCTTATCAACAGCATCTAGTGCCTTCTTTTTTGAGGCTGCCGAGTAGAGAGCAGTGGCATAACGACCCTCTAAGCCAAACACCTGTATTGGGGGCTGGAAAAAAAAGTAATTATATTTTGTGGTTCAGAATACAATCATTGACCAGCATTAAGAAAAATTGTACAAGAGAATTGGAAAGCAGGATGGAAGGGGCAAAAAGCAGGGTTGAGGGGGACAAAATGCAGGGTAGCAGCTGGGTCACTATGGAGAGGAAGCAGGACACCAGGGTAAAATGCAGGGTGGGGCAGAGAAAGCAAGTCTTATTGGAAAAGCAGAGTGGAAGGGGGGGAGGGGGAAAGACAGAGTGATGTGGGGGGGGGGGGAAAGCAAGGTTGAGGGAAAGAAAGGAGGGAGTAAACCAAAACACTAACCTGCACCAACTGCTTGGTTGCCCCCGAGGTGGAGAAGGACCTTGCCTGTGAAGAAGTTCCAATATTAGATTGTGTTTTATAATATTGGTTACACAAGCTTGCATATACATTTTATTAAAAATTTAGATACATTCCCATTGAGCATGGCACTGTAGTATTTGAATACAAGATGATGTAACTCTGATCACATAACAGGATTTAAGACAGGGAAGTGATATTCATTTTAACCTTAATCCAAGTACAGTAGTTCATCACAGCCTAGATCTGTGTCAACATATTCATAATTCTTTGGTTAAGTTTGGTTAAGTTAGGGCATATTAACTAATAATCAAAATATTCCAAGCAGGACCATTTTTAAAGCTGCATTAAATAATATTATATAAACTTTCTGTACAGTACTTACTACAGTAGTTGCCACAAACCAATACGTTGTACTTTCAAAATTTGTTTACAGTGCCATATAACAAATGCCTTTTCATTTCACTTCTGGGACATGTGTAGAATTGGTTAGCAGTAGTCCTGCATAGTGTGCCTTGAACAAATTCCTTTTTTTGTTGTATTAAAACCTACATAATCCAACCCAACCTAACCTAGTACAGTAGAATCTAATCCAGTCTGTAGTGTAGTCAGTTCACAACCACAAGGTCCCAGGTTAAATTCTAGCAGCAGAGGGCAGACATTTGGGTAAGTTTTCTTTCAGCTCATGCTTCTGTTCATCTAACAGAGCAATATACCTTATATCTAACAGTAAATAGGTACCTGGGAGTTATACAACTGTTGTAAGTTACATTCTGGGGACGCTCGGAAGGTGGCCTTGGGAATTCTCAATACACTTAACAGATTTCCTATCTCCCAGACAATTTAAAAACCATATAATGTACAGTGGCACCTCGACATACGATTGCCCCTACTTACGATAATTTCGAGTTACGATGTAAATTTCATCGAAAAATGCGACTCGACATCCGATGGTGTCGTCGACTTCCGATATTTGTTGGTACACGTTCGGGTCGACCGAGCGCGTGGTTCCCGGTCAGGCGGCCGACCTGCCTCAGTTTACTACAGCTGCCTGCTTAGTGACGATCGCGCCTATAAGAAATTCCGCTTCTGTGGTGATTTTTTGCATTTTGAACATTAAAGTAATTATTATATATCACGCCACGAGTCTCGGGAAAGTCGGTGGTAAGGCTCAACATATGAAAACCCATGTAAGGATGACCATAGAGCAAAAACAGAGTACAGAATGTGTCTTCCTCAATAATTAAGAAAATGTGTGCCGCATGGGAAGAATTGCAAACCTTTGCTGAAACGACCCACCCAAATCAAGCTGCAGTAGGTTGTTGCCTTAACCTATTCAATGACACTGTGATGCATCATTACAGACAAATGTTAAAACGAAGGGAAAAACAAATGTATCTTGACAAATTTGTAGCGAGACAAACAAGCACTGAACCACACCCAGGTCCTAGTGGTATCCAGGCAAAACGTAGGAGAGAGAGTACCCCAGAGTTGTTCCAAACAGTAACAACTCTCCTCCTCCCCCCTCATCACCATCTTCCATACGCATCAAGAGCCCTCCATAAAGGTAAGAGAAACTTTGGTACTGTATTGTAGTTAGAAAAAAACATTGTATTCAGTATAAAATGTATTTATATATTAATATTTTGGAGGGTGGGGAATGGATTAATTCAATTCCCTTTATTTCTTATGGGAAAAATCGCTTCGACTTACGATCCATCTCTGGGAACGGATTAGCATCGTAAGTCGAGGCTCCATTGTACTGTAGTTTTAACAATTAGGAAATAAGCCAAGTTCAAAATGCCTGTACACGATTTGATTGTACTGGACAGCTGGTTGACTAGCCACTGCCATTTTTCTCAACGTGAAATAAGAGTTTCACTAATACAGTACAGTACTTGCTAAAATATTTGGCATCCGTATAAGGAATGAAGGTAGTGAGTCAATTACATAAATCTCTGGTGTGTCCCAATTTGGACTACTGTATCCAAGCATGGAGACCTCATCTTCAGGACAGCTGAAGGACAGCCAGTCAGCCGGTGGCGGCTGACTGGCTGTCCAGCATGCTGTCCAGTCAGCCGGTTGGACGCGTGATCCTGTGGTCCTGGGTTCGATTCCCGGCGCCGGCGAGAAACAATGGGCAGAGTTTCTTTCACCCTGATGCTCCTGTTACCTAGCAGTAAATAGGTACCTGGGAATTGGCCAGCTGTAACAGGCTGCTTCCTGGGGGGGGGGGGTTTATGTGTGTGGTGTGGCGAGAGAGAGAAAAAAAAATAGTACTGTAGTTAGTAACAGTTGATTGACAGTTGAGAGGCGGGCCAAAAGAGCAGAGCTCAACCCCCGCAAGCACAACTAGGTGAATATATAGCTGCTCTGGAAAAAGTGCAGCACGGGGCATCAAAAATCATTCCAGAGCCAAGTCAACTCACATATGAGGAATGGTTGAGGGTCACAGGGCTAACACTGCAAACCAGACATGACGGGGCAGATCTTATTGAAACTTAAAATACTGAACAATTTGGAGGATGTTGATCTGTAAAATTTTGTCAAAAGGGCAGATGTAACACAAAACAAGGAGCAACAGTTTCAAACTCAAGCCACAATGTAGGACTGAGAACAGGAGATGCTTCTTCACCCAAAGGGTTATAAACCCATGGAACTGTCTACCCGCTGAAGTTGTAACTGCCAAAACTCTGTTAACATTTATAGTACAGCCGAAAAAGATCAAGGCAAATGGGGGACCATCGACAAGCCACCGGCTTCCTGTCCTCATTGAGGCCATGGCTCATCGTGGCTTTCAGATAAACTAAACTTAGATATCACAACAATTTAACGTTTATATAAAATGGCCCAAAATAAGCACAAAATACTTATCTATAAAGAAAAAAAGGCAAAATGCTACATATAAGCCAATCCTGATCTTTATGTAGGGAGTGAATGTGTGACGGTATTATGTCAATTTTAATGCTAGGGTAGGGGATACTGTGGAAGATAAGTTATTTTGTTTGTAAACCAGGTTTGCCAGCGAAGAAAAAAGTAATTAAAACCTATTTTGAGCTAACTAAAATTAAATTAAAAATGTACAACCTAATCCAGACAAACCTAATCATATGTAGCTTCAAAAGCTGGGCAAATTATGGGAGCCCACTGTTAGGGTATGGTGTATGTAATTACCCAAGTGTTTCTACTGGATAAGAGTTATGCTCGTGGTGTCCCAACTTCCCAGTATACAGTATATTCTGTCACATGATCCTTTGAAACTACTGACAGTTTTGGTCTCCACCACCACCTCACTTAACTTGTTCCAGCTATCTACCACTATTTACAAAAGTGATTTTTCTAATTTTTTCAGCTGCTTTATTTATTTAGCTTAAATCTATAACCTCTTTTTTTAATTTTCAGGTTTCAAGAATTCTTCTTTATCAATAGAAAGCACAAGTATAAAGAGTTATGACATACTGCATTTAGAACCGAGAACAATATGTACAGGCAGCACAAAACTTCTACTAGACAGTGTGACATTGTAATTGACAGAATTGAACTGGGATATCGATATCTATGGCAGGTGGCTGCAGGTAATGAATCCCCCTAATGGTGAACATTCCAACTATAAAGTACTGTATGTGAACAAGAGCTTGGACATACTCTCCAACACTATACTGTAGCTGTGATTGCCCTGTAATCAATGATTTCAGACCAAATGGTATGAGGTATACTTTGAACTCTCAAACTACTGTAAAGTCCTTCATACACTCATGAACACTGGAAGATATTCTTGTGCTTTTTCCAGATTTTGCTAGTGGAGGCTAACAGATTAGCCTGGTATTTCATGTTCTCTCCTAATTCCATGTATTACTAACCATCCCGTGAGATGGGGATATTAAATGAAGTTATAGCCAGCTTATGATCTGCACTATAATCTTTCATATAGAATAAGGTAGCAGCAGCACATAGCTGTGTATACCTAAGCTTAATAAAATAAAAAAAATTTGATCCCATGCGTAGTTGTTCTTGCACGATACTATTATGATAGATGGAATTACTAGTGTGGATTTCACTTTGCCTCAGATCTACAAGGTTTTGTTGAAATACACCAAGAACTTCTGAGGCAAAGTGAAATTTAAACTAGTAATTCCATCTATCATCATACTATCATGCAAGAAAAGTCACATACTTATGCATCATCCAATAAAATTGGCAGACTTCTAGGTGTTATGACTGCTCGGCTTAGACTCGGTTACAAGTATCTCTGGGAATTCTCATTATCTCCTGATGTAGACCTGACCAAATGTAAACTGTCAAAATTATTCACACACCCTCCGTCACTATGTGATGCAGTGCAAAAAAATACGTGAATTCAGAGACAATTCTATAACGAATGTTCTAAAGATGTGTAAATATTTCATTCAAAATTATCTGCTACCAGAAATTTTAGCCAAATATCCCCAGTTTGCTAACTGTTGGTAGTAACTAAGTGATTGTAACCTATCCACCGCTGCCCACTGGATGGGGGGCGGTGTGCAGGACAAACATATAAATTGTGACACTAGCTCTCCACATATGTCTAATTTAGAAACTATACAGTACTTGTGAGCGATCTCGAACCCAATGTTAATGACGATGTGTATTGAATTTTGTAACCAGCTCATCAAGACTATAACTTGCTTAGCTAAACGAATTATAGGGTTCAGTCCCTGAGCCCATTATGTGCCTCTGTAACCCTTTCCACTACCGCCCACAGGATGGGTATGGGGTGCATAATAAATGAACTAAACTATGTTACATTTAAGACTAGTTATTATCAAGAGGGCACCAAGTCGGGCACCTACGTAGGCTATATTATGGTAGGGATGACAGGTTATTTGGCGCATAATGGACCATCTTTTTGTGAACTGAATATTAAGTATAGGAGTCGACTGAGATGCACGGAACATGTCACCAACATTCACAGTACAGCAGGCTAAATTATACCCAGAGATCCTTGTATACACAATGGTAATCTAAGGTCAAAAATAGTGGAGGAATATACATATAGGAAGACATATATGGTAACAGAAGGCACTAACCAGGAGAGCGACCCGGGTTGTTGCAGCCATCATCTTACTAGGCATCAGCCGGCTCTCCTGGCTCCCTCTCCACCCACGGCTCGCATAAACCTCCTCTACTACTTCTAATAAAATATATTTTCTATATGATTTTCTTATAAATAAAATCGAATGATATCTATGCTCAATATGGTTTATTAGTCGAATAAAAGTTATTAGTATATAAATAAATAAGTAAAAATGATATAATATATAACTCAGATCGAAATATTAAATACTCCTTTTTTTATAAAGCGTTAAATGTTTTAAATAGTTGCATAAAGTGATTTTTATGAATATTTTCGAGATGTCGCTAGTTTAGAGGTGTGTGGCGAGGATGTAAATGTTCCGAATCTGACCCATATATCAATCAGGTCAACCCATGTGTTGCGTTCCAAAAGGGTTGCCCATGTTAGAATCGGTGAACGCCCTAGTAATATTGTTGAAAACATCTAAATAACTTATTAAACCAAAGGTCTTTTTATGTCAGAAGAACGGCAGAAACTGGATTTATATATGAAAACTCTTTCAGGACAAAATTTAAAGTAAAACTAAAGATATTTGTAGTTGTATAAAAGTTGCATTTTTCATCGGTCGTAGAGCTGGAAATCCGCAATATTCATCTCAGAACAATGCTTATTTCACGCAGAATCGTTAATAAACGTAAGAGTTTTATACGTCTCAAGAAAGATAGAAACATAATCTTCATTTTAAATGCCTTACCATGGGCATATTTGTATTTAAAGCGAAGATACGTGTATTTTTATAATCGGCGAGCTCCGATCCCGCACAGATCGAGCAACGGAGTAACTCTCTCTCAGAACAATGCTTATTTCACGTAAATTCGTTAATAAACACAAATGTTTTACATGTCTGATGCAAGATAGAAATATAAGCTTCATTTTAACTACTTTACCATAGAAATATATAAAGTTCTAATGAAGATACATGTGTTTTAATAATCGCCGAGTTCCGACCCCGCACAAACTGATCGACAGAGAAACTCTCTCAGAACAATGCTTATTTCACATAAATTCGTTAATAAACACATATGTTTTATGTCTTAAGAAAGATAGAAATATAAGCTTCATTTTAAATACTTTACCATAGACATAAATAAAGCTCAAGTGAAGATACATACGTTTTTATAGTGGCATTCAGTAGCTTGTCGGTCATGGAGTGCAGAACTTAACATATCATATTTATTCATTACTAACGTATTGCCAGGAAGCTTTCTGAAGCTTGTGTAGCTTGTGGTAGCTTGTGGTAATTAGACGGACCCGTTTGTGCGGGGTCGGAACTCGGCGATTATTAAAACACATGTATCTTCATTAGAACTTTATATATTTCTATGGTAAAGTAGTTAAAATGAAACTTATATTTCTATCTTGCATCAGACATGTAAAACATTTGTGTTTATTAACGAATTTACGTGAAATAAGCATTGTTCTGAGAGAGAGTTACTCCGTTGCTCGATCTGTGCGGGATCGGAGCTCGCCGATTATAAAAATACACGTATCTTCGCTTTAAATACAAATATGCCCATGGTAAGGCATTTAAAATGAAGATTATGTTTCTATATTTCTTGAGACGTATAAAACTCTTACGTTTATTAACGATTCTGTGTGAAATAAGCATTGTTCTGAGATGAATATTGCGGATTTCCAGCTCTACGACCAATGAAAAATGCAACTTTTATACAACTACAAATATCTTTAGTTTTACTTTAAATTTTGTCCTGAAAGAGTTTTCATATATAGATCCAGTTTCTGCCGTTCTTCTGACATAAAAAGACCTTTGGTTTAATAAGTTATTAAGATGTTTTCAACAATATTACTAGGGCGTTCACCGATTCCAACATGGGCAACCCTTTTGGAAACGCATAGAAACGCAACACTTGGGTTGACCCGATTGACAGACTGGTTATATTCCAACAGGGTCTGGGACATTTGAAATCATTGTATACCTTTAGTTTAATAAGTTATTAAGATGTTTTCAACAGTATTACTAGGGCGTTCACCGATTCCAACATGGGCGACCCTTTTGGAAACGCATGGAAACGCAACACTTGGGTTGACCCGATTGACAGACTGGTTATATTCCAACAGGGTCTGAGACATAAACACTCGCCTGGTCGACCAGGGTCCCTGCTCCACCTGCTGGCCCTCGCCGGCCCCTGCTGGCTCCTGCTGGCTCTACCCCCTACAGCTGACCTTGCTGGTTCCGGTTAACTGCTGGCCTCGGCTGACTACTGGCCCCTATTGTCCCCCTGTTGACCCCAACTCGCTACACAAGGTCTGTCCTGTAGCACAGTGCTACTTACGTACTAGCCTTGTTATATGTTTTTATATTTTATATATATATACAAGAGTTCATACATTCTTGTAAAACCACTAGCACACATAGCGTTTTGGCCAGGTCCTTAATCCTAATATTTCCCCCAGAATATGACCCACCAAATAGTTTAACAAACGGGTACCCATTCACTGCTGGGTGAACAGAGACTTCAGTTAAGGATTGGCACTTGGTCAACCCTCTCAGGCCAAACATCCTTCGCCATATATTCCACTTCACCCGTCATGTCCGTGGCCAGAAGAGACTGTAAAGTATGTTGCCTGAGGAGATTGTAGGTCTGTGGCCTGAAAAGACTGTAGGGACCCGGTTTAGGGACCCAGTCGGCCGAGCGGACAGCACGCTGGACTTGTGAACCTGTGGTCCTAGGTTCGATCCCAGGCGCCAGCGAGAAACAATGGGCAGAGTTTCTTTCACCCTATGCTCCTGTTACCTAGCAGTAAAATAGGTACTTTGGTGTTAGTCAGCTGTCACGGGCCGCTTCCTGGGGTTGGAGGCCTGGTCGAGGACTGGGCCGCAGGGACACTAAAAAGCCCTGAAATCATCTCAAGATAACTCCATCCCTATGCTATTTCCCGGTATCGGGCAGCCTTGAGGTTATCTTGAGGTAATTTCGTGGCTTTAGTGTCCCTGCGGCCCGGTCCTCAACCAGGCCTCCACCCACAGGATGCAGCCCGTGACGGTTGACTAACACCCAGGTACCTATTTTACTGCTAGGTAACAGGGGCATAGGGTGAAAGAAACTCTGCCCATTGTTTCTCGCTGGCGCCCGGGATTGAACCCGGGACCACAGGATCACAAGTCCAGTGTGCATTCCGCTCGGCCGACTGGCTCCCGGTGCGCATCCGATCCCACGATCGTAGCCTGTTTCCTGTCACTTCTGAAAAGATTGTATACTTTGAGATCCATAAGTCACCATCATGGTAGTCCTTTGTGTGGGTTTCCATTACTGTTGGCCTCATGTAGAAGGCCATATATAAAACACACTTGCCATGCGCTTCACCAGCAGTTTGACCTGGGTTCATATCCTGGCCAGGGAGGATTGACTAGGCACTAATCCTTAACTGTATGCCTCTGTGCACCCAGCAGTGAATGGATATAAATAAATAAATAAATAAATAAATGTTTATTTAGGTAAGGTACATACATACAAGAAATTTTTACCAAGATTGGTTGACTTATAGGTAGAGCTAGTACATACAATGCCTAAAGCCACTATTACGCAAAGCGTTTCGGGCATATTACGCAAAGCGTTATCTGGCAAAGATATCTGGTTGTTAAATGATTTGGTAGCTTGTATGCCTGGAAAAATAAAGATTAAGGACCTGCCCAAAATGCTGCACATGTTAGTGGCTTTACAAGCATGTAAGAAATCTTGTATATATTTTCCATATAATTGTAATGAAATTTTATACCATGATGGGTACCACATGGGCATAGTAACATTTTTGCTGATAACCACATTTGAATAGTAAGCAGTCATGAAGTGACTGCAGCATTATTTTCATGCGCCAAGATAAACACTACATCTATATAGAGGTATTATATCTATACTGTAGTTTGAATCAACATATGTTAACTGCGTTACTCCCATGAATCAACATGACAATAACTGCACTTTGAGGGTAAAGTTTTTTAAAACAAAATATGGTCATAATGTCTATTGAATGTAAATCAAAACATCATTAATCGAAGGTTACACTATATATTGAGGAAAGTCCAGAGGTTTATAACTCGGAGCCCCCCCCCCCCCGTATCGTAATGATTTTATTCCCTTACTCCCAGAAAAGAATTTGAAATCAAACATTATTGCAATACAGTACTGACATTGTATAACAAATCAGCACTGTATGGGGTACAGTATCTAAATGAGGTATGCTTGTATTACATAATTGTATCATACAGAATCAAATATGACCTCAAATATGATCTTATTATACTGCATTTACAAGCAAATGAATTTAGGTATGGCCTTACTGGGTGATCTCTCCATGCCCTCATGCCAATTCCATGATGTTCATTGTCAAGTTAGGTAAGAGCCTTTTAATGTCATATTTCACAATACAGATTTCATCTTTTGCAAATGAACAGAAATATATTGTTTTCTTTCCCTCCCACCCCTCCCCATCTCATCTTTTCCTTATTTCTCCAGCAATAGGCAATCCATTTTATCATTCTATGTTAGGAATTGTCAACTATGAATTATGCCATTCCATTCACTTATTAAAATGCCTTGGTTTGTATCCAGACATTAGTTAATATTCCTTGTTTTCTTGGCAGATGGCAGAGCAGAATGGGGATGTGAGAAATCCTTTTTTAAAAGGTCAAGGTATGACCAAAGGTAGTGGGATGAATGTTATTGGTTCTAGCACAGCATCTGGCTCAAGCAGTAACATATCTGCTCGCCTACCTTCTTTTCGAGGACCACGTGACTTGACACTGTCAGCTTCATCCTCTGCAACTCCTGTGAAGCCATCCCTCATGTCCAGAACTCGGAAAACATTTTCTCCAAATATTCCTGTTAGGAGAGGGAAAACTGAAATCATGTGAGTAAATTTGATTGAGATTGTATTTTTCTTTAAAAGAAAATGCAATGTTTGTGATTATCCCACTGTGTCTCATGGATTTCAGAATTCTTAAATTTTTCTGTGGGAAGTCCCGTCGGCTCTCCAAAGCTATCCAAACTGATAGTGATTTATTAGTTTGGGGGTCATCAGTCACAGGAGTCCTTTGCCTACCGGAAACCACAAACCAGAACCTAGTCCCCTCAGAGAGGCGCAGGGAGCAATTACCTATGAGCAATATACATTTAAAATACTGTATGTCATGTTATGCCATTGACCAGGGCATAAAACACTCAGAAAGATAGGCGGAAAAAAACAAGCGATAGTCTGGTGAAAATTGCTACCTACGTCCAAAAAGAGCAAAGAAACTCCCCCAAGAAAGAAAGCAAACTAGCATTTGTTTCAGGTTGTTCGTTGCTTCATTCATTGACCCTCTGGGTGATGATTATTCATATTGCCTCCACCATGCTGCCTTGTTGGGTCAGTGACACCCACAACCCAGAGTCTTGCGGGACTTGTTCCCTGCTCATATTTAAATTTTTTCATCCTTTATCTGATGATCTCGGGTATCAGGTGATGGTTGTGTTGCATGCTCGATTCTCACTCTTGTAATAAGCCAGGTTGGTTGCTCAGTTGGAGGCCCTGGAGCTGTCCTGCTTAGGATTTAGGGACTCACATTTTGGGGCAATGATCACTTCGACCTTGGTTCTGTCCGTGCTCCCCTCTTCCTTCCCAGGTGGGCATGGATCGCCCTGCTCCCCTCTTCCTTCCCAGGTGGGCATGGATCGTCCTGCTCCCCTCTTCCTTCCCAGGTGGGCATGGTTCGCCCTGCTCCCCTCTCCTTGCTTTTGGCTCCCAAACGTCTGAGGGTTTCAGAGTCGGGGGGGGGGGGGGGGGGGCATTTAGCACGGGATGAGGTTCAGGTGGCTTCGGGGGCTGCTGCCTCCAATGCGGGCACAAAGGTGGTTGAGCCCAATTTTCCTGCCAAGGCTTGTGTGTCAATCCAGCAGACTTCCTTCTTCGAGGCCTTTCCCTTGGACTCCGCCTTTTCTTCAGGGGTAGAGGGCGGGATTAGGGCTCCACCCTGGGGTCTTTGTTGGGGGGGAGGGAGTCCACATGACACGCTTGGGCTCTTTTTGACCCTGCTTACGCCCTTGTGCCCTCCGGGCCGGGGATGTTATTGCAGGGTTGTTTAGTTACCTTATGATTTCTCATGGTTTATAATAGTAAATCAGATATTGTGGGTATGAAGCATCAAAATTGATCCATTCTCAAGAAAATCAATCGATAACAAGTTTCAGCTCATGTACATTTGTTCAATTAAGCCCAACAACAAAACTTGAATCAGGTAATTTTTATTACTTATTTTAACACTTTTCATCCAAATTGTTTTTTTCATTAACCTTACCAAAGGTAGCTTTATACATTCTGTTTAAGGTTGCAAGATCAAAAAGTGCCAGTTCCTAAAATTAAATATTTCTTCATGATATTCCTTCAGTTATTATCTCCTTAGATCTCAGCCCAAAGCCTAGCTCAACATTGATTCAACGAATTGGGCCCAACCCCAATTCATTGCAGTAAGCGTTTGGTTGCAACCAGAGATGTCTCCAGGACGCATTTCCCATGCCCACTTTGGTTAATTTCACTTAGCGAAATTTTAATTTCAACCTATAATATGATAGACAACTACCAAGTGAACATGTCTGTAATGAAATTTAACTTTATTAACAATACTGTACTGTATATCATGATGCTAATGTATTTAGGGTTTAGATGTTTTAATTTATACAGTACAGTACAGTATTCTGGAAAAATCTATTTCAGAGATTCTCGCTCGGATAAGGCACCAAAACGTAATCGTGAACGGGATAAAAAAGAAGGGGGTAGAGGACGAGGGCGTGGAAGAGAGTATATTCAAACTACAGGCTCTCTATTTGGTGAAGGTATAGCATATATCAAACTGTTTTAATGTTGAAATTTAGGCCTTTTTTTTAAATTAGCTGTAGTCTTTTGTAAAAGAGGCAGGTGGAAGATATGACAGTGTCTCATTTGCAACATTCATCTCATCTGTAGTAACAGGTGACTTAGAGGCAATCAGTCATTTTTTTGCCCTTCGTTAGGTTTCTTGGGTTTCAATTCCTGTTGTCATATCTCTCGACTTAGTTCTACCATCACTGTCTCATGCCAAATACTGTTCTCCTACCATTTAGCTTTTGCTAAGCCCATCTCCCTTCTTTATACAAACAAATTAATTGTCAGTTATTAAATTAATAAGTTAGCTCGGGTGTTTTTTCTTCTCGTGCTACTCCTGAGCTGTTGTGGTCTTTAACCAGATTCTTAAATTCTTGTCCTTTCCAAAATTTTGTCTTGCCTTTGGCAGCAAATGTGTTTTAAGACAGCATTTTGATTGGCATATAAAAAATACTGTATATATATTTATTTATTTACTGGTACAGTACTTACATATACTTATTTATATAAAAAAAATTAAAGGTTGATATAACACCTTATTTCAGGGATTGCTGCTGCTCCCCAAAAGCGAGGAGCAGTGGGAGGATATGGTGTTGGAGGAGGTGGTGCAGGTGGTGGTGGTGGTACTGGAAAAGCTGGAGAACCTGGCTTCATACATAAACCTGTTCTTAATCTGGACACAGTCAACAATATTGACACGGTAATGTAATATATATTTTAATATGGTAGTCCATAAGGATTTAGGATGACATTTAATCAGGATTTACTCATGTTTTGTGTACTGTAATGTTGTATTGAGTATATGAATGAACAAGAAAACATTTACAGTTCAGTATATGAATTGAAATCTTTACCATACAGTAGTTCCAGAAACTCTTTAATAAATACTACCACACAAAATAGACAGAAAGACCAGAGAGTCCCAAGGTGGTACCTGCTTGATGGGTTCTGGGAGCTCCTCTTCTCACTAAGCTTGGCCTGAGGCCAGGCTTGACTTGAGAACTTGGTCCAACAGGCTGTTGCTTGGAGTGGCCGGCAGGCCTACATATCCACCACAGCCCGGTTGGTCTGGCAATTCTTGAAGAAAACTATGTAGTTTTCTCTTGAAAATGTCCACGGTTGTTCCAGCAATATTTCTTATACTCACTGGGAGTATGTTGAACAACCATGGAAGTATGGATGTGTGTTTACAGGTTACAGTTGTGTGTGTAAACTAAAGTCTTTGAAAATGTAATAAGTTATTACGAAACGTGTTCAGGCGTCGTGTCAGACTAGAAATAAAAATAAATTTTGGAGAATTGATTTTTGAATTACCATCGACAGTGAAAAGAAACATAAGAAATATTGAGAAAATTTATGTTAGAATTATTTATCTTACCTTTTCGGTTATATTTAACGATTTAACAACATACATATATGTGTGTATAATCCGTTCCTGGAGATGGCTCGTAACCCGAAAACTTGTAAACCAAAGCTAATTTTCCTATAAGAAATAATAGGAAAGGAATTAATCCATTCCTGACTACCCAAAAACCTCACTTCTAACTAAATTTTATACCTAATTCATCCAAATCTACACTGCAAAAGTATGTTCATGCTGTTACTTACCCCTTGCTGATGACTGCTTTTGGCGTATGGAAGATGGTGAGGAGAGGTTTACTGTTTGGAAGGGGAGTCCCCCTTCCATTATAACATCAGGCAGTAAAGATTTTTCTGGTGTGCACACACTGGCACATTTTGCCTGCATACCACTAGGTCCTGGTTGTGGCTTACTGCTTGAATTTCTCACAACAAAACGATCCATTGAAGATTTTTTTCCCTTCTTCGCAACATTTGTCTGTAGTGAGGCATCACATTGTCATTGAAAAAACTAATGCAACGGCCTATTACAGCTTTCTCTGGGTGAGTTGTTTCAATATAAGTTTGCATTTCTTCCCACATCTGACACCACTTCCTAATGGTTGCAGAAGGGTCATCCTCTTCTGCCTCATCCTCCTCCACTGGAGAAATATCCTCAGCTGCCTCTTCTTGCTGCTCCTTTTGAAGGGCTTTGAGTTTTTCGGTGGTCAGTTCTTCGTTGTGTTCTTCCACCAACTCCTCCACATCAGCACCATCCAATTCCAAGCCCATGTTCCGGCCCAGAGTAACAATTTCCTCAACAATAGGTACATCATTTACAGGCTCAAATCCCTCAAAGTCTAGTTTTGGCACACATTCAGGCCACAATTTTCTCCAGTCTGAGATCAGGGTTCTTTGAGTCACTTCTTGCCATGCTTTGTCAATGAGTTTTAAAGCACTACAAATGTTAAAATTGTGTTTCCAGAACTCTTTGAGGGTGAGGTTTGTGGCTTCAGTTACTACAAAACATTTTCAGAAAAGTGCCCTTTCATAAAGTTTCTTAAAATTCGCTATGATTTTCTGGTCCATAGGCTGAATTAGAGGAGTGGTGTTAGGAGGAAGGAACTTTATTGTGAGAAAATTGCTGTATCTGTTTAACAATCCATCTTGCAAGTCTGGAGGATGAGCAGGAGCATTGTCGAGGAGAAGCAGGGCCTTGAGTAGCAAATTTTTCCCCTGCAGATATTTTTGTATGGCAGGTCACACCACATCATTCACCCACTCCGTAAATAAAATCCTAGTCACCCATGCCTAATTATTAGCCCTTCACATCACACACATTTGTTTTTTCTGCACACCATACTTTTTGAAAACCCTTGGATTTTCTGAATGATACACAAGCAAGGGTTTAATTTTCAAATCGCCACTTGCATTTCCACAGCAAAAGCGTAAACCTATCTTTCATAGGCTTGTGTCCGGGCAATGATTTTTTCCTCCTTGGTAATGTATGTCCTCTTAGGCAATCTTTTCCAGAACAGTCCTCTCTCATCACAATTAAGGAGACAGGACAATTTTTCTAACAAACGTGACCTAACATAAGCTTACCCTTCCATTTATCTTAACTTTTTTCTATTTTTTCTGTCCATTGTTTTCTCTTACATTTCCTTGCTATCCTCTTCTTATTCCTACTACTATCCCCTTCTCATTCGGTGGTTATAAATAGGAGCTGCCTCGTATGGGCCAGTGGGCCTTCTGCTGTTCTTATTCCTACTACTATCCCCTCTACTACACCTTACCTTTCATACCTTTTGCCTTGCTCCTCACCTCTCTCTTGCCTATTTATTGCCTTCATCTCCTTCCCTCATCACAATTGACTTGAGAATGGTCCAGGACGGACTGAAACGTCGCCGTCCCTTCACCTTCTAATGTGTGGCCTGGTCAACATACTTCAGCCACGTTATTGTGACTCATCACCTGCATCACAATTAAACACTTGTTGTGGTAGGTATCCCTCAGCCTCTACAAACTCTTTAAATTCTTCAATAAATCTTTCAGCCGCAGGTTTGTCTTGAGCTGGCAGCCTCCCCATGCCTCACAACACTATGAATACCACTCCATTTTTTTAAATTTGTCAAACCATCCCCCTGCTTGCCTGCTATTGCATCTGCACTCATTCCAGGGCTTTTCATTATAAGGTCTTCGGGCACTACCCTGGCTTTCACACAAATTATGGCTTCTGAAACACTATCACCCACTAACTCCTTGTTGTGTATCCAAATTACAGTAATAACAACTTTTCCAAATCCTCAAGTATTTGTGGTCTTTGTTTCGTGATTGTTGATACGCCTTTTGCCACTTTAGCCCTTATAATGTCCTTTTTCTTGGCAAGTATAGTGCATATCATTGACGTGGATTTATTGTACTGCCTACAAAGTTCAACAACATGAGTACCATTTTCATGCTTCCGAATGATCTCTTGTTTTTCCTCTATTGTCATCCTCACATGCGATATCTTGCCTTGAACCTTACCACTGGTTTTCTTGGGACCCATTGTGAGATATATAACAACTTTTATGCTCAAATGGCCAAATATCCGACAAAACACTGTAAATACAAAACACTGTAAATAGGGAGCCGGTCGGCCGAGCGGACAGCACGCTGGACTTGTGATCCTGTGGTCCTGGGTTCGATCCCAGGCGCCGGCGAGAAACAATGGGCAGAGTTTCTTTCACCCTATGCCCCTGTTACCTAGCAGTAAAATAGGTACCTGGGTGTTAGTCAGCTATCACGGGCTGCTTCCTAGGGGTGGAGGCCTGGTCGAGGACCGGGCCGTGGGGACACTAAAGCCCCGAAATCATCTCAAGATAACCTCAAGAAGATCCATGTGAAGAATTCAGGCGGGATAGTCACTGGGCGCGAGGCACTAGTAAACTGAGGGGCGATTGCCATGCCACCACGTGCTAGGTCGGCCCATATGCGTATTGACAAACTCGTTGCCTGATGCAATGCTCGTATCCCGATGCAAATTTTCCGAACAAATCGGGCTCGTAACCCAAAAACCTCATAAACAGGGTCGCTCGTAACCCGGGGGTTCCACTGTATATATAATATTGTAAAAATTACACACACTAATAATTCTGTAATACTTTGGCTGTAATTAGCTGTAACAGTTGTGTGTTGGCTGGTGGAGGGTGTGAGAGATTTGGTGAGTTAACAATTCAACATGTGGCCCACCCCAACCTCCAGCCCGCTCCACTCACCATGGCTGGGGTGTAGGAAGCAGGGAGTTCCCTTCCAGACACAATAGGGGTTTACATAGAGAGGGAGGATGAGAGAGGGGAAGGCGAGTCTGGTGCTACCAGCAATCAGGAAAATCATTTTGCTGCCAAGATGTAAGTCCCTGATCCTCCAGATCTTTGTTCAGTATCTGGAACAGAATTGTCTGAAGTGTTCATTCAAGAGTTTGACGATCACCATCTCCTTAAAATACTTGACATAGGCAAGGCAGTGAGGCCGAATCAGGTCAGCCCTTGACTTCTACATAGTTGTGTGGTTCCACTTCTCACAAGCCTCTACTAACTTCTCTTATCTCAAGGAATTATTCTCTTCCTATGTAAGAAGGCAGATGTAGTTCCAGTACACAAAAAGAAGTCTTTCAGGGGTTAGTAACTAGAGACCAGTGTCACTGCTTTTGATTATTGATAAAGTTCTTGATACATTATTCTCTTGGTAAATAACATTTACCATCATTGGCTACCATTTGGTCAACAGTATGGTTTTAGAAAGTTGTTTTGTTGCTGATCCCTTGTTAAATCTCTTCACTAAGTGGCATCAATCACTGGATGAGTTCAAGATCAGCTGTGTTGTTGCACTAGACATTGCAGGTGCCTTTGATCAGGTATGGCACTCTGGATTACTAGCAAAGATTCAAACAATAGATGTTCTCCACTGTACAACTTATAAAGGACTTCCTTTTAGAATGAATTGTAAGAGTAATCTTCATTGTGGCTGAATTTCAGAGCCACTCATTTGGTGCCAGCATAACTCAGGGAAAGTATATGTGGAACATCTTTGTTGTGGCACATCAACTTCAATGATCTGGTACACCTCATTTCTGAGGTGTACCAGAGGCCTATGCTGGTAACTGTACTCTATTTATGGAAAAGAAAAAATACCATCTGCTACGATGGTTATTAATTACCAATTTTCAGTAATATCTTTCTGGAGAAGGTGACTGCAGGTCACATTTATGGCTGAGATAACACAGACGATAGTGGAAACAAGACAGCTTGATATTGCATATCAGATTGGCAGGTAAATGACTAGCAAAAAGCCTTGTGCTTATTGAAGAATTTGACATATTGGTAATAAAGTTTGATTTTCAATGATCATGAAAAGCCACATGCTCAGTGAAGCAAGCAAAGCAAGTGCTGATGAGACTTACAAGTGTAAAGCTATCTCAATTCAACTGGCTACAGGGAGCCACTGTTCAGTCCCTCCAGAAAACTGGTATCCAGTCATTAAATAATATTCTCACAGTTGTGATTGATGACACTTTCCTTTGAGGCCTTTATCATGTGAAGCTTCTTCTAAAATTTTAATTGCATAATGTTCGTGGTGAGAGAACAAAATTGCATACATTGTCTCGGGCATTAATTGAGCTTTCATATTACAGGAACATGAAGACCAAAAATTGAAAGAAATATTGCGAGATGACTTTATTGATGACCCAGATGATGTTATTGGACGAGATGGTAATGGTGATCTTTTTCCCGTACAACTACCAATGGTAGACACGGGAAGAGTGTTTAAGGAAGAAGATGAGGGAAAAGATGTAAAAGAATTTAAACATGATGCCTCTGCCGATTTAATAGTTGATGGCATTACAGGTTTGTATTTATTTTTAAATATCTCTTAATTGTGATCTTTTCATAAAATATTTAAAAGAATTCATCTTACTTTATGTAAAAAAAAAAAATATTGTAAGCAGTTCTTGATTTTCATGTTCCTACCCATTGTAGGAAGTATTGTACAGTACAGTGTGCTACACTGAAAAACTGTTTTCAGATGTCACAATGATGCTTACAGCTTGAACTTAAACAGCTAGAGGTTAAGGTGAGGGAGCAGTGTCATCTTGAGGATAATTTAACTTATCCTTACCTCCAGATTTGATCCAGTGATTGCTCAGGATCACATGTTTGTCTTTAGCTTATGAACTCTAAAAGAAAAAGGCCTGACAAAATTTTACTCTAATAATTTGACCTAATGAAAGGAGTATATTATCTATAACAGTTCAAATGGTCAGAGTTCAAGATCACAGGTCAAAAACCTCTTGTTTGGGTTCTGATTTAGTCATGCTGAAATCTCCATCATGCTTTTCCTTCTGGTGTTCAAAATATCTTGGGGTCTAGCAAGCTATCAGGGTCTTGGATGGGTCTGGTACCAAAGCTTAGGGAAGCTTTGGAAATGTTGCTTAGAGTAGTGTGTTACATTCTTCTACACTCAATGTGGTCCATGCTCTTTTCTATGGAAATGGCTCACGGTTTAAATTTTCCCTCGAATATTGGTGCATGTATACTAGTAAAAATGTTAAAAACCTTCAAAAGGGTTCAGTTCCATTATATAACATTGGTGTGTGTGTGTGTAATTATCTAAGTGTAGTTACAGGATGAGAGCTATGCTCGTGGTGTCCCATCTTCCCAGTACTCTTTATCGTATAACGCTTTGTAACTACTGACGGTTTTGGCCTCCTCCACCTTCTCACTTAACTTGTTCCACCCATTTACCACTGTGTTTGCAAAAGGAAACTGTATGTGGAGTGTTACTAGGAGGGGCAATCAAGGAAGAATACTGAATTACAGTCCACACATTAAATACAAAACCGACTTGCTCTTTGAACTCAAAATACTAGTACAGTACCTCATGGCTCCTGAATCTAATGGAGACAGGAAGTGTATGGCTTGTGAAAGGTCCCATTATTTTATGAAATAAAATCTTAAGGGAAAAACATTTCTTGTCTGTTTTTCACTGGTTTGTGTGTCACACAAGTCATATTGAAAAAGGGCTTAGGGTTTGAATTATCAAACTTAACATTTGAAATATGTCTTAAATCCATCCTATCAAAGTTTTGTTTGAAGAGTTTCCACTTCTGTGGCTTTCAACCTGTCTTGGTATTGAAGGTTGCTTTGTTCTGGGATGATTGTTGTCACAGTGCTCTGAACTTTTGCCAGTGATGTAATGTCTCCCTGTAGGTGGTGTCTGCATGCTAGAGTACAGCAGGCAAGGTGTGGGGGCAAACAAGGAATTGTAATGCCCGAATGATCATCTTATCCTTACTTTCGAAGGTATGTTTGATGATTTAAAAGAGTTTATTTTATTGTTACCCCACTTGTGCTTCTCTTAAATATTAATGAACTGCTATGTCAAGGTCACTTACTTTTTCACAGATGGCAAGGCAGTGCATTATTGCCAGTATTATAACTGATGTTTTGCGTTCCAAGTGTGGTCTTGTATATAGCTATATTAAATTTGGTATTAACGTTTTACCATTATTGATGGATAAATGAGTGTTAATGACAGCATGTGAAAATGGTAAGTAGCAAAGAGGAAATTAAAAGTAGGGTGCATATGTATCTGGTGTTACAAAGCTATAGAAGACAGCTGGAATGTGAAAGTGTCTGCTTGACTGACTCAGTACTGTACTATATGTTATGGATTATATAATAAATGGATAAGTGATATGTTTTATATCTCTTCATTGCTAAATTATTTGCATTTATCTCTGGGCTGGATAGTAGAGCTGTAATGTATCAGAAATAGAGAAAGAAAAATAATAAAATAAAATGCTGTAGTGAGATGGAAGGGATGAGTGAGAGGGGGAAGGTGGAAAGTAAGGAAGAGTCATCAGGAGAAAGGGAAGGTTTAGAATGAGGAAAATGGGTTAGAGTAGGTAAAGTAGATAAGATGTAGATAGAAAAAGAAGTGGATAGAAAGGGGTAGATAGAAGAAAGGAAGGGCTGCCCACCATCTATTCTAGCTTCCATTATCATAGACATGAATCCAAGATCTAGGGATCAGAATTAAAGACAATTTAAAAGTAAGTTAAGTGATTATTAATTTATTATTATATATTCATTAAGATTCAATCATATGTATATCATAATTTAACCATTTCATTTGATTTTCAAATATAAACATTAATTCAGATTTTGAGTCATCACACAAGAGATTAAGAGCAACCACATATGACTTCCCCTGAAAATCTCACATCACACAACTTCGTGAAACACCAAATACAGCAACCTTTCAATTCAACTCACCAGAGTCCCAGAGTATAAGATGGTTAGAGAGGAGTGGAGTGATATGGCTGACAGTCAGTCCCACCACCGGGCTGAGGACAGGCCTGTGTAGACCTGGCCTATCTTGCGATGATTTCAGTGCTTTGAGTCCCCGTGGCCCGGTCCTCGACCAGGCCTGCTACTGCTAGAACACTTCTAGTGTAGCAGGACTCCTCTCTGTCTCCTTCAAATATACAATAATTCAGGTATTTAAGGGGAAACCAGGAGCTAAACTCCCCCTACCAGGAGATAGCCTCTGGCTATCTTCCTACCACACCTAGACAGTGGCTTGTTTGATGGAAAGAACACAGCCACCAGTCTGCAGTTATCAGCTTAGCAGAGAGACAAGGTCACTTGACCCAACCTGGCCTCTGCTAGACATGTGAACATTAACACACACTGAAGATGTGACTTTTGAAATGCTAAGGGCCAACAGCCTGGCACTGCCAATATCCTGTGTGAACTGACTCTACTTGTATCAGTGAATGTTAAATAATTCTATTCATGGTGTTATAGAGTAATGGTCTTGCTTCATGCAGGTCGGTATTCAATACCTGACCGTCCAAGTGGTGGGACACTATTCCTGTTCCCCCCATCCCAAATCCTTATCCTGACCCCCCTTTCAAGTACTATATAGTCGTAATCGCTTGGCACTTTCTCCTGATAATTCCCTCCCTTCCCTCTCTGGTCTGGTGCTTTCCCAACCCGAGAAAAGGGTAGTGATAATATACGTATAATGTGTGTGTGTGTTTTTGACCATGTTTTATGTCCGTTAATCATTTTGCTAGGAAAGAATATTTTCCTCACTTGCTACCTTTGTGTAAATATTAGTATCCTAAATTACAAGTTCAAACGGACCAAGTAGTCAATTCACGCATGATGTTGAATATTAAAGAGCAGGTTTATAAAGGCTCGCAAAGAAAAGTTATGGTGTTTTATCATTTTCTTTTCATGTGCGTGGGTTGGGTGTCTGACTTTTAGGCATGTGATTGTGACTTACTCTCTGCATAAATGCTCACTTTACAAAGATGAAATATGTTGAGTGCAAAAGTCAGTACAGCAATTCATAAGGGGGTGAGGGTGAGTGTTGCTGTGATGGAGCAGTTATGTTGAGCATGTAGGTGATGATAGCACTTGCTTATCAGTGACTTTGGGGAAGCGAGGTCTAGCTCTTTATGCCTCGCCTACTAGCCCTGTTGTACTTATTGTGTTATAGTTTAATTATTTTGACATTTGAATTCTTTGTTGAATCTTGCCTTAAAGTTGTGGATGAGGTGGCTTCCACAACTTTTTCCATTTATGCATTCCACTTGTTGACCACTCGTACAGGATTTCATATTTCCTTTCATTTCTTCAAATAATTTGTTTTTCAACTTCCATTTGTGTCCTCTTGTCCTTTTTTTCTCTCAAAAATTGGTGAAGTGTATGCATGAGTGATTTTGGCCCCTGTTACTTTGAATATATTTATCTTTTTTTGGCCAAATGCTTTCCCCACCCCATGAAAGTGGGAATCAGGGTAAAGATGGTGTTGGTTGTTTTGAATACGTTTTAAAACTTTCTGCTTTGTTGACTACATCTTCTTGCATTGCCTTTGACACTGTCCTCCACAAAAATCTGATTCACAGGTTGGAAAAGCTGTCTGGGCTAACTGGGAAGATACTGGACTGGATTAGAGAGTATCTAACAAATAGGAAACAGAGTTGTAGTGAGAAAGGAAGAATCAGGATGGAGAGAAGCAGGAAGCGTGATTCCACAAGGTTCGATTTGGTACTTGGACCACTTCTGTTCCTGATTTATGTAAATGACCTTCCAGAGCAGGTAGGATCATACATGACAATGTTAAACTTAAGAGAAAGCAAAAAAGATTAAAAAAAAAAGACTGCATGATACTATGCCTTGACCAAGAATGACCGCTGGAAAAATGTAAAATAATGAACTACTGTATAGTAAGAGTTGGAAGGGAAAAGAAATCAGTTGGACATGACAGTTTATGCTGGAGATGGTGGCTGGAATGAAAAGTGGAAAGGTGTCTATGAGTGTGTGTAATGTGAGCTTTAACACTAACGACACATTAACCATAACATGAGCATCATGTGCTAGCTAGCAAACATAAAAATGACTTCCAGGAACATAATCAAAGAATCCTTTAGAATACTATTCCCAGTGTATGTTATGTTATATATATGTATATACAGTATATATATACAGTATATATATACATAACATAATACATATAGCTAAGCAGCCAGCTATAGCATGGAAATTCGCACCTGAGATAAATGAAATGATTTAGGAGGACTGGCTAAGATAATCTAAATACATTTAAAAGAAGGATGACAGGTGATATGATCACAATATACAAGATACTAAATGGCATAGATAAAATGGATAGAGAGTTTTATCAAAGTGAAGGATGACAATAAGGAATCACATCCTGAAGATCGAAATACAGTACAGACGAGTCAAAAAATGCAAGGACTCGCTTGTTTATCACTCACTACTCACTACATATAAGTAGAATGAACTTGAGCCTGAGATGGTGGAAACAACCAACATTCACAGCTTTTTAAGAGGAAATATGAGAGTATTGAAGTGTTGAGAGGTGTGAATGCACCAGGTAGAAACTGTGATTCAGGGGTGTAGAACTGGATCTTGATTCCTGTAGGCTCAACTAGGGTGTAGAACTGGATCTTGATTCCTGTAGGCTCAACTAGGGTGTAGAACTGGATCTTGATTCCTGTAGGCTCAACTAGGGTGTAGAACTGGATCTTGATTCCTGTAGGCTCAACTAGGGTAGTAGGTTCACTAGGTGTGAACCTACTCACTAGGTGTGAATGGCAATCTGTTGGTTGATGATTGTGATATGTGCTTTAAGAGCAGTTGTGTGCCAGCCAGCAGCTTATTAGGCTTGTTGTGGTTGTGGCTCCAGCTCTAAATGTCTATACCTGTATTGCCTTGGAAATACCACTTGGAATCAAGAGCAAGATCTCAGCCCCTTTTAAATGATGTCAGTCACTTGACAAGCTGTCCTGGCTTTCTCCTTCATTTCCTCACTCCCATTTTGTGGAAATTGTATTCACCACAAAACTTAACAAATTTATGCAGATTATTCTAGCATATGAACATAAGAATGAAGTTAACTGCAGAAGGCCTATTGGCCCAATAAAGCAGCTCCTATTTATATCCACCCAATCTCATTCATATACTGTATATATGCAGTATATGTCTAACCTACGTTTGAAACAATCAAGGACTCTTACTTCTACTATGTTATGCAGCAACATAATAGAAAAACTGTGTTATGAGTTTTTTGGCAATTTAATAAAAACATGAACAGGGAAACTAAGAGAATTTTAGTGTTACTAATTTTCAAGAAAGGAGATAGATCACTTGTGTCAAACTATTGGTCAATTAGCTTAACGTCTATTGTGGGAAAGTTATTCGAATCAATGCACTCATCACACTGTCCTTGCTCAGTCATGCACTCCCCCGTCACACTGTCCTTGCTCAGTCATGCACTCCCCCGTCACACTGTCCTTGCTTGGTCTTGCTGCCTCATGACCATAGTTTGCTCAAAATTATTAATAAATATTATAACTACTGCATTCTTGTACACTATTGTCAATAAATATGATTTCACATCAATAATGGGCATTGAAGTACAGTATAGCATTATTAATTTTTCTTTAATGTATTTGCACTAAATAATTTAAAACAAAATTTGATTTTGGTTCATTGACAATGTACTGCCTTGTTACTAAACAGATTTCATCTTGGATGGTTTCAGTGCTATTGTATTAAGAATCTTTTTTCCAGTTTCGTGACATAGTTGATATAAGTACAAGTGGTTTGAGTACAGTATGATTCGATTCAGGTGCAATCAAGGCAGGAAGCAGCCTGGGCAGGTATTGGTTGTTGATGTAAATGGAGAAAAAGACAATAAAGCAAAAAATGTGAAAATATTTGAAGATGCCTATACAGTGGGGCCTCGATTTACGATGGTAATCCGTTCCCAGAGGCGTATCATAAGTCAAAACGCTTTTTCCAATAAGAAATAAAGGGAATTGAATTAATCTATTCCACACCCTCAAAAATATTAACTTAAAAATACATTTTATAATGAATACAATTTTTTTCTCTAACTACAATACAGTACATATGTTTATCTTACCTTTATGGAGGACTCTTGATGGTGTATGGAAGATGGTGAGGAGGAGAGGTGTTACTGTTTGGAAGGGAAGTCCCCTGCCATTATAACATCAGGCAGTGAGGATTTCTCTGGGGTACACACACTGGCATGTTTTACCTGCTTACCACTAGGACCTGCTTCTGGCTCACTGTTTGATTTTCTCACTAGAAATTATTCCATTGAAGATTGTTTTTCCCTTCTTTGCATCACTTGTCTGTAGTGAGGCATCACATTGTCATTAATGAGATCAATGCAATAGCCTGCTACCGCTTTATCTGAGCGATTCTTTTCAGCAAAACTTTGCAGTTCTACCCATACTGCACACATTTTCTAATTTAATGAGGAAGAGACATCCTCTGCTGCCACCTCCTCCTCCTTCCCTGAAGATTTGTTGTACTGTCTAGCTAGTTCAACAACACGAGTACCATTTTCATGTTTACGAAGGATTTCTTGTTTTTCCTCTATGGTCATTCTTACATGTGTTTTGATACATTGAACCTTACCACTGACTTTCTTGGGACCCATGGCATGATATATATAATAATCAGTTTTATGTTCAAAAAGCAAAAAATCACCACAAAAATTAAATTTCTTATAAGCGTATAGAGTCGCATTTTTCTATCAAATTTATATCGTAACTCAAAATTATCGTAAGTCAAGGTGCCACACATAATTATAGTTGTTATTTACAAGTTGGACAAAGCATGGATAACAACAGCAGTGGAGAGAGAGAGCATAGAAGGTAAATCAGTATACTAGTGGTGATTGTGACAATGTTTGGATTTGATTTTGAAGAGTTTGACAACCGCATTGATAGTGTGTTCAGAGATGCCGATGAGGTAAATAGAGGAAATATAGCGAATGGTTTACACGAAGATGACGATGACTCTGAACATAGTGTTATGACAGGAGGAAATACTCAGATGGAGTATGTGGATGAAGGTGGCATACCGATGCAAGCTGACTTAAGGCAGTGTCTCAGCTATGATGATATTATCTTGGAGATGTCCTGTACTGGGGGAGAGTAAGGAGCTTGGAGGGTTTCTATGCAGCTTTAACTTCTCATAAAATATTTTCTGACTAAAATCAAAAGGAGCAAAAGACACCTGCCAATGGGCAGGATGTGGCCAGAAGGCCTATCACATTCCAGGTCAACCAGCAGACACATGAAGCAACCTCACTTTCAAGGTCAATGAGCTAAAACTCGGGTACGATCCTGTGGTTGAGAGGTATATCAGGATCCTCTTTCAATTCATCTTCAAAGTTTAATTCTCAGTACAAAGTTAGGTAAACATTTTGTTTACTCTTGCAAAATGACAGTTTTAAGATGATATGTTACGTCTTTAAATTCCTGTGCACTACTAGTACTACAAACTTGTGTGCAGTAATTCAGAATTGTCCAATTACAGAGGAGTATTAAAATGCTTATTATACTTTTCTGCATATGCCCTTTCATACTGTTGCAAATCCCCATTGTATCGATGGATGGAAAGTCGCACAGGAGACCAGGCTGGAGTTTGAAATGTGCCTGGGTATACTGTATAGTGTAAGGGAGTGTCCGAGTACCTAGCTCGGGAAGGTTAGATTCATCTACTTGATGCCTTATTCATTAAGTGGTATGGGTGAAGCCATAATTTGTTGTTAGTGAAACTATCAGGTACTAAACATGCAACCTGTTAAACATCACATTCCTCCTGGAGCCAGTCGGCCGAGTGGACAGTACGCTGGACTTGTGATCCTGTGGTCCCGGGGTCGATCCCAGGTGCCAGCGAGAAACAATGGGCAGAGTTTATTTCACCCTATACCCTTGTTACCTAGCAGTAAAATAGGTACCTGGGTGTTAGTCAGCTGTCACGGGCTGCTTCCTGGGGGTGGAGGCCTGGACGAGGACCGGGCCGCGGGGACACTAAAAGCCCTGAAATCATCTCAAGATAACCTCCTCCTCCTCCCTTCACCCATTCCCTTTTGCAACCCTTTCCCATCATCCTGTCCCTAACCCTCCCACTATCTTCATCCCCTCTTCCCCAACCACCTAACCCCCCCCCCATCACCTTGTCCTTCATCCTGTCCACTTCTCCCACCAACCTGCCTTATATTTTACAAAATATATATACAGAGAGTTAAACATTGTGTCTAAGAATATTCATAATATTATTTGTATTTTATGATTTTCCTAATACAGTATTATGACCACATGTACTTACCTGGATTGAGTGCTATTGAAACCAATTAGTTTAACATCTTATATTTATAATTTTATGCACTTTGTCCTATTGATACTAATGAGTACATGAATCATATACATAATGTTTAGTAATTTAAATTTTCGATGTTACCAGAACAATAATTTGGGTGTATTTTCTTTTCTTTATAGTTAAAAGTGAGCCAGTTGAATCCAATGAAGCTTTCGAGTCTTTAGACAAAAAAATTCCAAAGGTAGGTTCCATTGTTCCCAAAATGTTTGTTTAATGGTTTTTACCATTTGTTAATTAAAATGTTATTTCTACTAGAATATTGTACACCTAAAACCTGATTATAAAGAAAAAATTTAGAATTGTTGTAATAATGTTTTGTACCCTAATTTAAGGTATATTTTAAAATATTAAACTTGTACATTTTTATCACTGCCATAAATTAGTCATCTCATAATAGAGAACTCACAATGATGCATTATTCATTAATAAATCATCACGCAAAAGACACCGTACACAATCTGTCTCCCCCCCTTCCTTCCTTGTATGTAATGCACATTATAACACACTTTCTCCTCTAAGAGGCATATATACCATAAATACCTAAGAAATCTCTTATTTCATATTCAGTACTAAATAAATACAGTACATGAAATCTGGTTACTATAAGAACTCCAGTCTTGCTTCACCCTGAGAATAGTACCTCATTCTTTTCATAAAATACTCCTATGGCAATCCTTTGAGATCACGCTAACCATAGTTTAACTGAACACGCCGGTTACCAAGAGAAGATGCAGTAACTTCTAATTCAACCTATCCTTCTGAATCAAAAAACTGTAACCACCAACTGCATAACCAGTAACATTACAATATCACCCCATCTTGCTAATTATTTTCTACAGAGCATCTTCCTTGTTATGCAGTTGTAGCCTGTAGCAGTTGTAACCCCTGCACTGCACACCACAACCAGGGTTGTTTTAAGCCTATCATAAAATGTAAAAAAAGGACAAATGCCATAAAGGTTTGTTCAGTGTATGTCGAGTAGGCTGCTCCATTATTTAAAAAATTGAATATCATATTGATGTTTTTCGGTGGTGGAACAGATTATTTTTATTTCCACTATTTAAAATGAGGAAATTCGTTTTGAAAGACGAGCATTTCACATGACGAGCTCGTTGCCTGAACTGATTAAATTCGTTAATCGAGGTTCCACTGTATATAAGATTATATATAAGATGCTGGAACAGGAAACTGGCCACTGTTGAGTCTATAGTTTTCCTAATGAGTTCCTCACCCACCTCCTTTAGGAACTTAAGTGCACATTTACCCCAGGCTCCCAGGGTCTCAGAGCCTATCAGCACAAACCTGTAACAACGTTTTAGGTCCCTGTACTTGTTAGTTTTCTGGGTCTCCCTGGAGGTGACCGCCCCGCCTCCCTCAGGTGTTCTATGAGGTAGATAGGTATCAGCTAATGTAGACGCACCATGTAGTCCCATACGACCTGTGAAGTTCCCGGCACCGGAAACCTGTACAGCTAGGAAACACACTTTGTCCTTCCCAGAAGCTGCCTGGGAAGGCAGCTTCTATCTTCTTTCTTCAGCTTTATCTTCTGCTATCAACCAAGCATTTTTCAAATACAGTTGATATATTTTTCATGCTTACTTGAAGACTGATTTTATTATCATTAAGCATTTTCTGTATTGCAGGTAGAAGATAAGAAAGTGCCTGTGAAGGGTGGCTTACCAGCTAGAGAAAAAGCTCCAGAACCTAGTGTCGCTCAACTTTTAGCAGGAAAACATGAAGATTTCATGTTCTTTCAGGTAAGGCATAGGACATGTGGTGCTATGCTTTGTTGACTATTGCAATCAGAATAAAGGAAACTGCAGAAGCCCTATTGGCTCATTAAAGCAGCTCCTGTTTATATCCACCCAAACTCATTTATATGTCAAACCTACCCTGGTACAAGTACTTTCATTCCAATGGTACCTTCCCTGGTCTATTTCCTTCATACTGTTTTTTTTATATAATTTATGATGGGTAGTGTTTTTTCTGTTATGTCAATTAATCACCCACAGTAATTTAAATTGTAGTTTATTGTTCTTTTAACCATCATATTTTCATTAAACTCCAAATCTCTCATATGAGTAATTTGACTGATATATTCCATTGTATGCATGATTTAAAGCCTTCATATATCTGCTATAGTTCTTTAAGTACCAATCTCATATGCTCCAAAATACTTTATTAAATGTTATTCTCCAGTATTTCATGAGCCTCAAACTCCACTGCTCATATACATGTCTATGGAGAACAAGATCTAACTCTTGACCCCGGGCCTCTTACCTACTGTATTTTTACCTGGTAAAATGATATTGTATTTTATTTTTTGTCATTTTTGCTTTTGATGCTATAGCTGGAGGTAGCATTTCCATTTACCTGTGTCCTCTTGATCTGGATTCTTTAAATTTGTTGTCTCTCAGACCATCTCATTTATTCCTCCTCAAGATTTTGTAGATAGTCATCATATCTGTGTTGGTCCTTCTCTCCTCTAAAGTTGTTAGATTGAGTTACATTAACCAGTCCTCCTGAGTTTGTCACCTGCTTTGCAGTTCCTTGGGGGTCTGGTCCAAAGATGAGGTATTAGTGACTTGATCACAAACATAAGCATATTCAGTTGCAATGTCACCACTGATCATATGATTATTTTCTCTCAGGTCTCACTTGGTTGTCATGTCTGGGATTGAAAATGATAGATTAGGGTACTGTATGCAGAAAATGCAGGGTATAAATAGCTTATATTTATAAATACAGTGGAACCTCGAATAATGAATTTAATCCGTTCCGGCACCGTGCGCGTCATGTGAAACTGACGTTATTCAAAACCAATTTTCCCATTTAAAATAATGTAAATCGAATTCATCCATTCTACCACCAAAAAACATTATTGTGATATTCAATGTTTTAAATAATGGAGCAGCTTACCTTACATACACTGAACGAACCTTTATGACATTTTTCTTTCTTCAATTTTTTTTTTTTTTTTTTTTTTTTTTTTAGCAAAAGGTTGGTTCTGTGTTTGTCAGGTAGGCTGCTCCATGTTTCTTAAATAAAAATAAAAAAACAGTTGAAACAATTTGAAAAACGAACAAATGCCATATAGGTTCATTCAGTGTTTGTCGGGTAGACTGCTCCATTATGACAATCTTTGTGTTTCAAATGTGTTCCATTTGTTTTGTATTTTTCATTTATTTCTCAATAATGAAGCAGCCTACCCGACAAACACTGAATGAGCCTATATGGCATTAAAACGTCTTTCAAATTGTTTCAACTGTTTTTTTTTTTTTTTTTTTTTTAAGAAACATGGAGCAGCCTACCGGACAAATGCCAAACGAACCTTTTTGACATTTGTTCTTTTTTTAATTTCATTTTGTTTTTCTACAAAAGAAGTCAATGCTTTGCAACATCCCAGTATCAATAGCATCTTTAATCAAAGAAAAATAATTTATTTGCATCGTCGGAGGTGTCCGAGAATGTGCGAGAAGCAGTGCGACCCCACCATGTGGTGTTGACATTATTCAAATGAGCTCTCGCCTAATGAGACGAATTGTCGGCAATCAGGGCGCTCGTTACCCAAATTGCTCGCCATTTGAGGTGGTCGTCACTCGAGGTTCTACTGTATAAATAAAGTGTGCATAAAGAGCTAGATCTCACTCCCCCCATAACCATTGATAGGTAAGTAAGTTCTTTGTAATGAACCATATAAAAGGCTTTTTGACAGTCATGGAAGATGCTGTCTCCCCAGCTTTCTCTTGTTGTATCATGGTGGATTTATTATATAGTACTCCATCTAGTGTGTCAAATAGAACTTTCTCTTATAAATTTATGTTGCCTTTTAAAACATTCATCCTCCTCAGTGACTACAATGCTGTCCCAGCATTATTTTTGTCTTGTCATCCCCTCTCTTTCTACTCTGGTTCTATTTTGTATATCTTCTGGATGCTTTTGGTCAGTTCCTGATCCACCACTTTTTGTGAGGATGAGGAATTTTATATTTTATCTTTTGGGTAAATGCCAGGCAGTGTTGCTGGTGAGCCTCACTACCTCTTGTTGGTTCTGTAATATGTTGCTTTAAGAAGTGTTTGTCTTCTTTTCCAGAGTTTTGCTCAACATTTCATAGCTTCTGTTATGAAATGCAATGAAGTGTGACATTCTTTGTTACCCAGTTTATTTTCCCGTGTTAACGTTCCCAAATATTAGAATCTTGGCTATCATTTCCTTTGCCACTGTAGCCTTTTTTTTCATTACCTTCAAGCAATTTTGAGAATAGTATGAGGCTATAATAGACAAGAGGCATAAGAGGATATTACTAATTAACTTTAAAGATGTTTCAACTACAAACATTTTTCACAATTACTACTTGGTGTAGTGAAAGTTCCTGCTATGGTGATAGTTCTTTTGACAAGAGTGTTGATTGCAGTAAATGTTTTTACTTTACTGCAATAGATTAACACTTTCGCTCACCCCGCGCGCCACCCCTCAACTGTGCGATATGGGCCCCAGCGTGTCACAGGAGCGTGCGTTAATTCTGAAAAGTGTATACTCTCTTCAACTTTGTCACCTCAATTCTCCTTCTACGAGATTAAATTTGGTGTCATTGTGTTCGCAATAAAATTCTCTACAGCACTAAATGCATATAAACTCCAAAAGCCCGGCTAATTACCCGCAGCAAACAGAGAAAGTGCGAACGAGTTACCCGGGAGCGCACAAACGGGATAAAATGTTTTCACTATTTTCACTCTGGTCACCTCAATTTTTGTCCTAAGTCTTTCATTTTGGTCTCAATGGGTTTGTAATAAAATTCTCTAGAGGAACATTAGCATATAAAATAAAAAACCTGGTCACGCTCCAACCGCCGACGAGTTGAAGACGGGCCACGCGTTAGCCGTGAGTGAGCGCTCAGACGCCTTCCTGCTACACTCCCAATTCCCGCCCTTTTCAAGCCTTTCTTTCGCAATTTTCTTCCTGGAAGGGCCTTGTTCATGATTACTATCCATCGTGGAGTAAGCGTAGATAGTTTCTAAAGCCGCAGTAAGAAATATAGCCACGGAAAATAGCCGAAATGTTCATACGTTTGAGATGCGAGGGGAGGCGACATTGGTCACAACAGTGGAGCAAAGACAATGGGCCCACGGCGTGTGCCAAGCCGCCTGAGGGCCACGAGGCTCAACAAAGAAAATGGGAAGACATCGGCGCACATTTTAAAACCAGTCCCCAAAAAATCGAAAAAAAAACTGATTTTTTGCGATTATTTAAAGTGGATGACGCAATGCTGCATCATCCCCGGTATTACCGCCAGTAAACGGATGACGCAATGCTGCGTCATGCCCGGGCGAAAGCGTTAAGTACAACGGGGGGGAGGTGGTGACATTTATATTTTTTAAGGCTCTTCATAATACTGTATTGTTTGTATTGAGATAGGCTTGGCATGGGGACCAAGGACACCTCCCTCATTACCTATGATCAAAGTATGTTTAGTTTTAATTTAATTTGTATACTGTACTCTATTTATCTCATTTGGCTGTTATTCCTTTCATTAACTGCATATTTTGTTGGTGTGATTCTGTCCTTCTGCCCCATTGTCCCATTCAGTATACAGTATTAAAGATGCATAAATACTGAATCATTTATAAGCTACAGGAGAAGGCTTTATTTAGATGGGGGAAGCTTGGAGGTATTCCATGGCCTGTAAAAATTGACTCAAAAATACCATTGATCTCAAGCATATCAGCTTTAACGCATTGTACTTTAATTCAGTTGAAGTGATAATTTTGTATGTATCTTCTCTTGGTTTTGCTTATTTAATTTAGCAATTTAGAGTTCCATTTGCACTGAAACACATCATTCATCTAAAAATGTCCAAAAATTGATTTTTTTGGGGGGGGGGTAGGGGGGGGCATAGTTGGGGAATTGCTTATCAGGAAACCAACTGGATAGTCTCCCTAGTATTGAGGGGACTATCCAGAGATCATCTCGGCCAGCCACCCATCACTCATGGGGATAATTGTTCTGCTTGTAAACATTTTTGCTGCCTTGCAAATTTCTTGCTAGAAAAGTATTAGTTGTTTTTTTTTTACAGTGATATAGACCAATGTTAGCACATTTCCACCTTTTTTATTGTTATTTATTTTGAAAAATAAATAAGGAATGTTAATTTTCATAAACATTTGTATATTTAGTACTATCATTCACAATTTATTATAAACATGTATTTTATTTTACATCAGTACTTAAGCACATTCGTTTTGAAATTTTTTTTTAGTTTTTGACAATTTTGACAACATTTTGACAATATTTTCAGTTATAAACCAAAAACTCAGAAAATGTAAAAATTGCATGAACAGTTTAGGTGTTGTTGACCTTGGACCTTATAGACCTTGCAGGACCTCGAGATACTTGGACCTTTTACGATCAGGTACACACTTATGGGCTGGAGCATCAGTGTTAATGTTAATTTAAAACTACAGTTCTGAATAATGTTTGTTTATTTTTTCTAGCTGCCAAACTCTCTTCCAAGTCATCCACCAGAAGTCAAACAAGAACCCACTGGTACCCAATTACAAACTCAAGCTAAACAGCAGAAGGAAACAGTTTCTAAGAATATAGTAAGTTGTATAGTTACATAGTAAGTTAACATGATTTGATATATCACATTAATGTGATTTCTGAGTGTATTGAAGTAGGAGCATCAGAGGTAGTACTACTGGTTGACAGAGCCCGAGTGCATCGGGGAAATTGTGTGAAACCCTGGTTAGGCTTCAGAGGAAGCCTCGGGACCCTCAAGGGTGCAGTAGCACTCCAGGTTGCAATTCTTTTGACTATGTCATGATACAGTTGACTAGAGCGCATCTGGGAACACTCAGTGCATAGGTTTGAACTCTCATCAAGGCTTCTGTGGATTTGTTCTTTAATATAGTAAGTATTATTGTTGAATTGACTTATCTTATAGTTTTATATATAAAATGCAGTGGCATACAGATTGTGTATCAGTTATTAGTCTAGTGAAAAATATGATTGCAAGCAGTTTGTTCTTATCTCCCTTGCTCACTTTAACGTCTTCAGTGCTCCTGACTCAACTACTTGATGCTTCTAAGACTAAAAAGGTGCAAAACTTATCACAGGCAAGATAGCTATTAGTAGTAGTATTAGTAGTGTTCAGTAGATAGCTACTACTGAACAGTTCCTATTTTGTTGCACCTATACTTTCTGGTACATATTCTCTAATTTTTATGGTTTATTTTGTTATCCCCTGCTCCCCTCACCCTGTGGTGTAAGTCCAACAATGGTTCTGGCTCCCAGTAGGCAACAGATGGGTCTCGGAGGCTTGGCGTATTGGGCCAAGGCTTGATAGTACTAGAGATAAGCTTAGAAGTTACTGAGGGGCCCAACAGAAGAGTGTTTCATTACATTCAATGCTTAATTTCTTAATGGTAATGAGGTCTTGAACAAGGTTGGGAATTTAAATGAAGAACTTGGGATCATTATTTTGTAAACATTATGTTATAAGAGAAACAAGTAAAATGTAAACTTTTGAAGACAAGTGCCTTAAATCTAAATAGCTACCTAAATTCTTAGGTATGGTAAAATCATAATTGTGAATTTAAGGAAATGCAAAGGGACCACTGAATCAAATCAAGAATGGAATGGAGCAAGTATATCCAAGCATTTGAGATGAATTAGAGTTGTGTGTAATATTAAATTTCAAGTAAACTGTAATTGATGGGCAATACCCAAGGCAGATATTGTGTACAGTCACAGAGAGAATTAAGAAAAATACTTCAATGTTGTTCAGAAATATGGAGGTGATGGATAATTGAATTGCAAAGATAATATAATGTATTTTGGTACAGTATAAGGGATTGGAGTTAGAGAAGGCAGGTACTGTATATAGGAGCACATGGTTTTTTCAGGTGTGGAGAGAGCAAAAATGAGTTTAGTATATTACTAAGCATTTTTAAGCAGGATGGCTGAAATGATTATCCACCATGACCAGCATCTCAAGAGTATGTTTCAGAGAAATTTGCTGGTCAGAGATATAAATACTTGCTGAATAATCCAACAAATCTTTATAAACTAGCATTCAACTAAATTTTTGGAGGTCTTGTGATAATGAGTACAGTACTTACACAAGTTTGTCTTGAATGTATATATTGACTTATAAAGTCACTATATACTGGTATAATAAGTATCTATTGGTAATAATAAATTAATAAAAGAAAAAATTGTATCTCCAGAAGCATAATTGCTATTTCTGTATATCCATAGGACCTAGATGAGGATGGTGACCAGAAATCCAATCACCAATATTGTACACTAAAAACATTACCTGAAGGGCAGATTGGAACTTTAAAGGTTTACAAGTCTGGCAAAGTAGAACTATGGCTTGGTGAACATAAGCTCACTGTAAATAAAGGGACCCAAGTAGGATTTTTACAAGTAAGTGGATGATTGTGTTTGTTACTTTATTTAGTCCTTAAGTAAATATCCATTCATACTAGATACTAATTTGCTATTATTGTATAATTTGCAAATATTGTATACTATCATTGCATGTTAAAATAATAAAATAAATAGAAACATTTTGAATAAATACTTTCTTTTGTATACTGAAACTGTTTCTTGCAAAAAGAATACGTCATTTATCTTTAAATATAAAGGATTTGTTTGAATTATGATCATCCTTTTTAAGCAGAACTAGAATCTTTGTTACAGAATAAGAAGTGGAAAAACACTAGAAAAGTTTATTTTGTGAAGCAAGTGACGGGGACCATGAACTTGTGCCACAGAGGCCGAGGTGCTGGTTCTCAATCACCAAAATCAGTAATATTAATATCAAAACCTACTGACATATCATGCTACCTCGCACATCAGTAGCAGATCCCAACATTCCAGGGAGAGTGCTCGACCTAGTGGGGTAGTGTTAAACCAAGTGAGGTTGGACATATTTGAGATTTCTCCCACTGAGTGGTTACAACTAAACCACTCAGATCTGACAATACTACTTTTACCGCCAAACTCTCTTGGTGGGATTTCTTTAATTTCTAAATGGAAACTTCCTCTCTCAAGGGCATTTGTTATGAGAAGATCAGTTTAAGGAAATATTGCTTATAAAATATTTCTTCCTAACATGAAATCATAGATATACTGTACTGTACTGTACTGTAACAGGGAATTATACTCAGTCCTCTTGTATGCTCAGGTTAGCAAGAAGGTTCAGTGTTTATAAGCACTTGTATGGAATTAGGATTAAACATGAGATTTCTTGTAATTTATGGACAAGTTGAAGAGAGACTTGTGCACTTGTATGACACATGTCACTGATACACTAATTTAAGTGAAACAGTAATTACAATTACTACAGTAATTACTTTATATCTTAAAGAATGTTACATAATACATATAATGTACAGTACAACTTAAGGGTTTTTAATATATATTTTCAGGATGTAGTTAATGTGGAAGTTGATGAAGAAAATAAAACTGGTTCTATGACTGTTCTTGGTCACATCGGACATCGGCTTGTTTGTACCCCTGACTTAGAATCTCTCGTCAGACAGAAGAAAACCTAGCATAAGTCCTAGTACTAGTCACTCTACGTTGTTTCACCACCCTTTTTGTTATGAACTAAGCTTTAAGGTTTATTTTTTATAAATGTATCTCATAAGAGATTTTTTTATTCAAGATATACTTATGAGTCCCATGATGTGGATGCTCTTTTTAAATTAAGGATTTTCATTTATAAATATTTCATGAATTTGAGCTTTTTATGTCTTAGGTTAAACAAAATTAATTACTTTTCATCAAAAACAAGTTATACATATATTAAATATTGTATACATATGTATTCTTTAACAAATTATTTTCAAGGACTAAATTTATTTGACTGATTTATTTAACCTCTTGCTATTTCACTGTACCATACCTATGGTATAACAATACTTTTTTGTTTAAGCTTTTAGCTTAGGCATTTATTGAAGGTTACTTTAATGTTTAGAACATTATTACAATTACTACAGTAATTTAAAAATAAAAAGTTCTCCAACTCCAGTCCCTCATCCACTACCTTTTTCCCTCAAGGTATATATTTCATCACTGAACCATGCTCAGTCTGTCATTTCTAGCATGACAGGTTATGGTAGTTACATTTATTATATGTCTAAAGCTCTTGTTAATGATCCATCAATATGAACAGTAATATTTTTTTAATGAGAAGTCAAATTCCTAAATGTAAGACACCATCATTCATGATGACACTCATTGTGAATGCTGGTGTCTTACATCCTGGTAAGATGAACTTTATTTTATTCCGATTATGGGTAATGACACCACGGCTCTTGTGCACTGTTTTTAGTCAGTTGAGGGTGGCTTCTGCTCCCTCACCTGTTTACTGTGCTGTCTTACAAGCAAACACACCTGATGATTTGGGGGCACCTGTTTGAGTTTCTTCTTCTTCTTCTGTCCCCGATGACTGGCTTGATGCTGTTGTTCTTCCTATTAAGAAGTCTGGTATTGGAGGACCTTCCCTAAAGATTTATATCTCATTGCCTTAATAAGTTCCATTTGTGAACTCTTTCAGCGCATGACTGTTGGTCTCATGTGGTTCCTGGAACATCGTGGCTGCCTTTTTTCCTTCTCAATTTGGGTTTTTGAAATGTCACAGCACGATGGATATTTTGGTAGAGGTCTGCATCTGTACTGCCTTTGCTGTGAATTCCTCTGTTGTAGCAGTTTTTTCAACTTTGAAAAAGCTTATTACACCACCTGGAGGTACAATATTCTTTCCCAGCTACATTCCTCTGGCCTTTATGGCAATCTCCCACTTTTCCTTTAAAGCTTTCTCTCTCATTGCTCATTCCAGGTGAAGGTTGGTGCTGCTTACTCTTTTCTCTTTTCTTTTCAACTGTTTAAAGGTGTCTCCCATGGTAGTGTTCTGAGAACTACTTTATTTCTGGTTGGCCTGAATGGTCTTTCATCCTCACTTCCCCCTGGCATTTTCTCAGCCCTTTAAGTTGTCAATCTCACCCTCTGCTGTTGTGGAGATGACCCCTTCTTCCCTCCAGCGTCTGCTCCAACTTGCGATTGATAATGTAGCATCCTGGACCAACAATCATGGCTTATAGTTTTCTGCATTCAAGACTTGTACTATGACTTTTACCTGGAGGCATGTCTTCTATCATCCCCAGTTATCACTCTATGGTTGTTTCTTTGCCTATCGGGTAATTGCAGAACTCTTAGGTTTGATCTGTGACACCCATTTGTCTTGGTTGCTCCATGCTGCTCACTCCGAGTTGCCTGCTCTAAAGCCCTTACCTTGCTTAAGGGTTTGTCCCATACATCCTAGTAGGCTGATATGCTCACACTTCTTTGTTTGCACTCCTCTTATGTTCTGTTTAAACTCAATTATAGCTGCTTGCTTATTCCTCTGCCTCTTCCTCAACTATTCATTGTCTTGATCTGCACCATGCACACCCATAGCTCTGGTGCCTTTCATTCATCCCCTTTCTGGAGTTTGTTTGTTGACATTGGCATCTTGTCTACAGAATCATCATGATTACTACTGCCTCCTTTACCTTGCATGGTCCTTCCAACATCCCTTCTCTTGCTTATGCCATTTATCACAAGGGCAATGCTTTCCCCTCACCACCTTCTTTTTACTGAGGGTGGCATGTTTACATAATTGTCTCAGTTGGCAATAACACAGGGGGGGCCCCACCCCCTCCTGTTCTTTCCTTTTCTCCATGGAATGTTCCACTGGTGAAATTTTGTATGACCTTAACCCACATGGTAAAGGCTTTTAATGTCCCCCACGCACCTGCAATTTTGAGAAGCTTTTTCTATGAACATTTTTCTTCTCACTCAGATTCTGTTCTTTTGTTCACTGATGAGTGTAAGTCTGCTGACAGTGTTACGGCAGAACTTTATGCCATTTTACATGCTCTTTATCAGTTGTATTCTGTCACTGCTCTTTTGTCATTGTAGTTGACACTCAAAGAGTGCCCTCATGGCTGTGGAGTCTTGTTAACCCTTTGCATCCTGTGGTAACCAAAATGCAGTACTGGCTGTTTCTTATTTTTATGAGTTACAGTATAAGACAATTGAATTTTGTTGGGTTCCCAGCCATATTGGGATTCCCTCAAATGAACTCGCTGACACTGCTGCTATGAAGGTCATTTGTACTTGCATCATTTTCCAGAAAGGGGTTCCCTATTCAGATTTCTATCCAGTCATTCATGCCGCTATCCATAACTGTGTCGTTGGGCTGGCATTACAGGTAATAAACTGAGTGCTCTTAAGTGTGACCTTTCCCTTTGCCTTCCTCCTGCCACCGTAATAGGCGTTGGGAGAGGGTGTAGTGCATATCGGTCACACCCACCTGACTCGTGGTCACTTAATGGAACAGCATCCTGCCCCCATTTTGTTTAATGTTGCCCCACTTAGTCTATTGATTGCATTATCAATTGCACAGATTTTCAAAATGCTAGTGTCTTGCTTTCCTGATGACCATAGAGGTCGGTTGTCTCATTTGCATCCGTGGTGATTCCAATACCTTTGTTATTGTTCACCTCCTGTTCTCGTTTTGGCATCTTGAAAGATATTGAGCTCCTTTTGTATTCCTTACGACTTAGTGTTACGTGATCTACCTGGCTTGACAGTTTCTTTGATGGTTATTTACTTACCTGTTTGGGTTGTTGACTGCCTGCTGGAGGAGTCACCCATATGGGCAATCCTGTCTGGATGGATGTGGATGTCTAAGCTGTGGTGTGAGAAGAAAAGGGGGGGTCTCTGCACTGCCCTCAGACTGCCCAAAGATAATTTAAGATGGTAATCAATTCCAGCTTTAATAGCCAATGTTTTGGCTAACTCATCAGTTTTATTCAGAGACCAATATGAGAAGGAATACTCAGGAGACAAACCCTGAGTCCATTGTTATTTCATTGTACATTATCTGTGTCTAGCTTCAGATACAAGCATGTCACAGTTATGCCTTGGGGAGATGTGCAGTCAAGGATGAAAAGAAGTCACCTATAATTAACATGTCGACTTGGCAAAGATTATGGCAAACATTTCTGTTTGAAAAGTGGAGACCTAGTTATTTATATGAGCTCCCCAACACAGGAGTTGGAACCATCTCTTACTGTCACAACATCTGCACTTCTGGCTGCACATAGGACTGATGCAGCCATCAATGTAAATAATTTGGGAGAGTGAACGCTCCTTGAAAAAAACATCAATTTGGCTTAAGACATTGTACTGTGTTTCCTGGCAAAGCATGGGCTGTTTTTAATCTGCTTCTTGGGTGGGAAATTGGGCATAGTAATTTGGAAAGGGGTGATCTTCCATGTGATAGGAAAGTGCCATTGGTTTCTCTCTTGGTAGACATATGAACATTATAAATTCTGAGTACAGTTGCAGTTTTTGTAATACATTTGAAGGAATGCTGACCTTCAAGAAAGAAGGCTTGGAGAGCTTCAGTGCAGTGGTTGGGTAGGGTTTGCCTAAGCACCTTGATACCAATTAAAGCATTGAATTCAATAATCAATGCATATAAATACTCTACTTATACATGGAGTATTCAGTTCCTTCCTCATGTTTAGTACTGTAATTTTGTTGTATGGGGATTCTTCTTTGCTTTGCCAAATAAAATGTCCAGCCTGTTCATTATGTCCTTATACCAGCCCCAGCAGGAAAACATCCTATTATATACATCCCTAAAACAAAAGACTGTCTACATATGTCACCCCTTGTATAAACATCAGAGGTCCATGGTTCTTCAACATCCTACCAGCAGGTATAAGAAATATTGCTGGAACAAGCATGGACATCTTCAAGAGAAAACTAGATAGTTTTCTTCAGGAAGTGCCGGACCAACCGGGCTGTGGTGGATATGTGGGCCTGCGAGTCATTACAAGCAACAGCCTGTTGGACCACACTCACAAGTCAAGCCTGACTGAGTCAGGCTTGGGGAGTAAAAGATCTCTCAGATCCTCATCCAGGTACCCAAGAATCCTCAGCAACCAGGATTTTCCTCCTTTTTCTGGGGGGTGTCAACACTTTCACCTTATTTACTGGATTCCTGCATATGTTCTCACAGGTATGAAACTACTGTAAATTACCTATATACAACATATAACAGATAGTTTTTGAACATGCATGTTTAATAATAAAAGCATCTTTATTTATCAAATATGACCCCAAAAATTTAAAGTTATAACTTTAAAGAACTCCACAGGTATGGTATGACATAGCAAAGAGGTTAATGTGCCTTAGTCACTAAATTGTATATGAATTATTTTAAACTTTTTCTAAAATAGTATTGATGAATCTTGAGAAAAAGTATTGGTTTTAAAAGTCTACAATGTGAAAAAGTAGGTTTACTATCCATGTACCATAAATACCTAAAGGACTTTGATAGTGGTTTGTAATTGATACATTAAATGAAATTTGTATTCATTGAATTATAATTTTCCTCATCAAGAAAAATAAATAGATAATAAGAATGAATTAATAAGCTTTAAGTTTAATATACAATATACACTACATAGCTATACACAGCATACTATTTAATGCTGGGGATGCATTCCTAGAAATGGGAGCATTAGCTGATTCAGCACTATAAGGAGGATGACTAAACCACACATCGGAAAATGGAGAATTGACAACGCTTTCGTCCAGGATACAACGAAACATCTTTGTTTCTCCATTTTCTGATACATGGTTTGGTCATATTCAGCCATGTTATTGAGTCATTGTATGCACTATAAGGAGTCATTATGTGTCTCTATGGAGCTATGTTTCTGACATTGTAAATTATTGCCTAGACTAACATATTTAAAGGTTCACTGCGAACATAATACATACGATAAAAAAAAATTGTAAATACTGTGTATATTGTAAGTGTACTCAAATTCTTTGCATAAAAAAATACAGTACATTTTCTGGCAAGATACATTAGTTTATTAGCAAGATAAGTGGTACAAGTTCATCAGTGTCAAACTATTACCGAGTGTCATTCAAAGGGAGAGTGGGAGATGTGTACTTGTACTGGAGGTAAATGCATGTGGAAGGGGGGGGATAGGTTTATCAAAAGCCTTGCTAGGTCTGTTACTGTATATCATAATCTTTCCCAATGATAACTGCTTCAAATATGCTTGGAAAGAACGAGCGTAAATTTGCCAAACGTGATCATCCTTTCAGAAAACTACTGTAAAAGTTACTGTATTATCACTCTTTTGAATTTTAAATAATTCTTGAAAGTATAGTACTGAAATATCCCACAATTTATGTTAAACTGATTAGATAATAGTTTATGTAAATGTCAGTCATCTATTTCCTTTCTTAAAAATTGGACCTACATACTTTTGGAAACCAGCACAATTGTTGAACAGTGGCCATATCCAGTGATGAATTGAATGTTTAAAACGGGTTATCTATCCTGTTTATGTTTAGACTCTGGAAAATATTTAGTTGAGGCTTGTGAACCTGTTTGCCATTACAGTAGTTTTAATTTGTATTCTGATTTTTTCTTGGTAATTATTGTTTGTTGTTCTAACTTCCTCAATAAATTCATTAAATTTAATAAATTCTAGCAATTTAATGAATTGCTAGAACTAAGAAGTTTATCTCTAAAAACAACCAAGATCAAATACTGTACTGTATTTATCATTTTATAAGACATATTTATTAAACAAAAATTGCCTTAAAATATAATCCTGCATACAATACAGAAGAACCCCCTTTATCCATATTCTTGATTATCCAGACAGATAATTCTCAGCCTTCATTAATTAACCTGAGCATGTCCAGTTAATGGGGGAATTAGCCCCATTTTTATGGTTACTGCAAGTCTGCATGACTTGGTGGCAGATGACCTACTCAGTATAAATAGCACAAATTCCATTTGTTTCCTACATATACATTGGTACATTAATATTAACATACATTACTGTATAGATATTTTTAGCACATCTATTAAATATTGTCCCAAAATAAATGAAAAAATTAGTCTATCAATTATTCAATTACTATATGAATTTTTTCAGTTATCTGGACATCTATAGGTATCAATTAATTTGAATAATCAAAAATCACACTGTACACTTGTGTATACAAAAACTATTTGCACCAGATAAACCTATCAAAGCTGTTAAACAATTCCAAGCATTAATAAAGCAGCCTGTCCTTATAAACAAAGACCAAATGTTCATTAATCCTTGTTTATTAATGAAAAACCCCATTTATGAATGAAAAAAAATTTACGCACAACCGATGACATTCAAAGTTTTCAAATAGTGCTTCACTGACAACTTCCACTTAAATTGCAATGCTGTAAATGCTTCACCCATGTATTTCAAATACAAATAATCAGCAACAGAACCTAAACACATAACCTTACACAGAAATTTAATATATATTTAATAATATTTACTTATGTATGAAAGCAAACCTATTTTTAATACACAATATGTTAAAATTATGAATGCTTCTTGGGGGGGGGGGGAAGGGCTGCTGCTATAACGAGCCTGGCCTGAGGACGGGCTGAATAAAGAAGAGCTGCTGCACTAAAGAAATACATATACATACTGTATGTGAGAATACAAAAAAATGTGTATGGAAAATGAAACATTGTTAGTGGTGTGAGAAGGAAAAGGTGGCTAGGAGGTAGGTTTTTGCTGTGGGAAAGGTCTGTGAACAGCTGGCTGTGTAACTTTTAAATGAGGATGAAATTATTTGTTTGTGTAGCGATTCTTGTACAGAACTGTATACTGTATCATTTTAGCACAACTGATCACATATGATTGTTGTTATGTGTTACAAAGAAATAATAAGGCTAGTAAAATTGGGATGCAGCTAATATGCCAGCAAATACAGTACCTATTTACAATGCTTCAATTTCTTATTTGATATATCTGGAAGAACTCTCTTGAGATTTAACTTTGCTTACCTTACTATCTGCACTTAATGTGTTTTTGCTCTCCTTATTCCTGTTTAAATATTTTTGCAAGCTTGATCAAATTGTTAGATAATCATTCCCATCATTTATTTGCTTATACATACAGTATTCTACTTTGTTTATTTCCAATTGCAACAAAGCACAGGCTAGAAGCCATTCAGGGCAGAGGAATGAATATAATTTAAACACAGAAAATACCGACCAGATAACTACAAGATGGTTCAATTATGCATACAGTCTCTAAATAATTACTGTTTAGAATGCCAGCATTTAAAGAAGTGAAAATACTGCTTGATAATTATCCTTAATTAGGTGTGTTTGTATACACACACACATTTGTAATCGGTACTTTGTGAGGCTTAGCCGATCTCTTTTTTCACAGATGGCGATAGATTAGTAATTAGAAGTTCTTTCTAATGTCTCTAGATCATTTGGGTACTCAATTTCCACCTGTGTTATGTCCAAATTGCATTGTCCCTCTTAGAGTCGTGCATATCCTTGTTGAATGTCCTGACTTCCGGGAGGAGCTTATGTCTTGTTTTCCGACCGTCCCTCTATAGTATTCTTGGTGACTCAGATACTTTTGATATTGTTTGCCTTATGCGTTTCAGTTCTCGTATTGGCATCCTTGGTGATATTTAGCGCCCTCTGATTATCCCGCACATTTGATGGTGATACATAGCCTTTCTGGTTTGGTGCCTTCTTTTGATAATTACTTACTTCCACCTGTGTTAAATAATCAGTCTTTATCTACCCTATCACTTCCTCTTGAGAATTTGGTATGTGGTAATCATGTCTCCCCAAACTCTTCTGTCTTCCAGTGATATGAGTTGCAATTCACGTAGCCTTTCCTCAAAACTTATACCTCTTAGTTCTGGAACTAATTTAGTGGTATACCTTTGAACCTTCTCCAGCTTCGTCTTATGCTTGACAATGTATGGACGCCGTGCTGAAGCTGCATACTCCAGGATTGGTCTTAAATATGTGATTACAAGGTTCTAAATGATTTCTTCCACAAATTACTAAAAGCAGTTCTGATGGTAATCAGTCTCACATATGCCACTGATGATATCCTTTTGATGTAGGCTTCAAGAGACAAGTTCAGTGTGATATCTCTTAGATACTTCTGTCCTTTTCGTACCTTGTTCTTGGCTCCTGTTCCCTCCACCTAGCTTCATTACTTTACATTTATTCCAGTTGAATTGTAGTAGCTATTTATTGGACCATTTTTTGTTTGTCTAGGTCATCTTGTTGCCTTTTGCTACCATCCTCAGTTTTAATCATTCTCATAATTTTTGCATTGTCAGTAAATATTGAGAGGAACTAAATATTTCCTCTGGCAGATCATTTACCTATATCAGAAACCAGCCCATCCTTCTGTTTTGGAAGTACTTATTTATAGTAATGATGAGGACAATAGTACTGTATACAGTATATACCGACGTACAATGAAATTAGAAATTGCCACTATTGAGTTGGACATACCTAATTTTTACTTGTGTTGCATAGACAAACTAAAGTAACCTAACCTTCCTAGATCTAATACATGATATCTGAGGCATAATATAGTACAGTACATTTCTGTGGTATACTAGGCTTAGAAATATTTAAGTGTTTTTTTAGCTTTTATATTTTTTGAAGAATTTCTTGCTAGTCAGCATACTACTAGCTAAAAGCTAAGTAGGTACGAATTCGTGACCATTAATAATTATCACAATAGGTACTATCTAAACACGAGGATGGGTTACAGAAACAGGATAGGTCCAAGGACTGAACCCTGTGGGACTTCATTAGTGATGCCTTGCCACTCTGAGACCTAACCTCTCACAGTGACTTCTTGTCTTCTGATGCTTAGGTACTCCCTTATCCATTGGAGTACCTTCTCTTTTTATTCCTGCCTGCATCTACAGCTTATGCACTAGTTTCCTATGGGCCTATGGGGGAGATAAGGTGGTTATGCATGAAGGGGAGAGATAAGGAGGGGGTGTGTGTGTATAGGGGGAGATAAAGAGGGTGTGAGAAGAGACAGGAAGGGTGTCTGACTATCACAGGCAGGTTGGAGTCAGCCCATTACCCACCCTTGAAGAAGGATCATCTCCTATTGCAACTCTCAGTGACTCAAGAAATTTGAAATGGTGGTTTTCTTTTTCCAGAGTTTATCAATAAACAAGTCAAGCCAGGCTTGGGGAGTAGAAGAACTCCCAGAACCCCATCAACCAGGTTTATATCATAATACTGCATGTTTTAAGAGAAAAAGAGAGAGCCCAAGTCACTGCTGGGGTACCCCATCGAATATTAATGTGTGGTTCATCTCTATTCATCTACAATATAACCAGCACTACTAAGTAGTAAATACTGTATTCATCTACCACATACAGTAGTGCTGGGTAAGTACTGTATTCATTTAGCATATCCCCAGCACTACTATGTGGTAGATCTACCACATACCCAGCACTTCTATATGTGGTCAGTACTGAATTTCTCTGCCATATATATATGGCAAGTAGCATTGTATACCAGTACCATGCATCAAAGTTTTTCTTTTAGTAATTGTCATAAAATTGATGACTGTCAAACTTATCTGACAAAGCTAAACAGTATAAATATGAAAAAAAAATAAACTTGTAGAGCTAAATATTGTCTTTTCTACAGGTACAGTAACTGAATTTATTAATGTTAAAAAAAATTTAGTATACAATACAGTTTCATAAAATGAATTGCGTCTTTACTCAAATTACTGTACGTATATGCAATAAAAAATATATACATACATTATACTATACTGTACAATCCCCAACAAAATGGTATGTACAGTCTGCAATAGAAATACCCTAACACACAAATGAGGTAAGTTGAGTTATCCAATTAGGTGCCTCATGGGAGTACTAGCAGGTATTCAGACCAACGGAAGGTAGACATTCTATTCATACAGATTAGCCATGCCAGCAATGACTACAGTCATTTGCTCTTTATTGACTCTGCCTTTCTTATTTTTCTGCACCTGTTTGTGCACTTTTATGTTCACTGTGGTGGCAACTCGTCCTATAAATGGACCAACTCATAAAGAAATGTAGGCCTATTTAAATTTGTTGTATCAATTGTTACTGAACTTTCTTTGCAGGTTCCTGAGTTTTCATAATCATGTGGATATGGTGCCTGTAGGTGTTGGTACAGTATTGCATGTCCCAATGGATTTACAGTTTATGAAAATAAGAGTGTGTGATTTCTGTGGATATGATTGACTGGTCAAAAAAATAAAGAACTTCAGAAAAAGAAAAAAGGAATGAATACTCTTGACAGCACTGCTATATTTATTGTGACAAGTTGCAAAAAATAACTACAACTCATTTCATAATCCCATAATGTTCAGAAAGCATGTTCTAACTATAGAATGTAAATAGGTTCTCTCACTCCAGTATCCTGCTCAGTGTCTCACCTGTTCTGATCATGAAGCTGAAATTTATAAGCAGCGATCTTCTCAAGGTTCCTAGGGTTAAAAAAAAAAAAAAAAAAAAAGTCTAGTCATCATGCTGGAGCTGGTGTGTCTCCACAAATATACACTACAATATCCTTCTGTGAATTATTAATGTGCTCTAGTAAATTTATATACTGTATTCTAATTATAGGTGAAGGATTTTGTCATCAATACTGTATATGAAAAGTATATACAGTAATAAGTTTCACAATGATTCAGTAAATTTTTCTTATTTTTTATTTATATATACAAGAGTTTTTACATTCTTGTACAACCACTAGCACACGTAGCATTTCGGGCAAGTCCTTAATCCTATGTTCCCGGAATATGACCCCGCCAAATTGTTTAACAACCAGGTACCCATTTTACTTGGATAAACAGAGGCTACAGTTAAGCATTGTCGCCCAGTAAATCCTTCCTGACCAGGATACGAATCCAGGACAAAGCGCTCGCAAAACACTATTTACGAAAATGTAAATTATCCACAAATTGAACTACTGTACTATAGGAAATCATAAATACAAATACAGTATGCAGTTAGTACATTCAACTGCATTCACTAAACATTATATTACGTACATGAAATCTAAATTGTCAGCAAGTATTTGCTTTCTAGCACTACTATACAGTATATACAGTACAATAATAAATTATTTATGTTCAGGAAAATACAAAGGAACCTCCTTCTTCACCACTTTCTTAGTTATCTTTTGTTTCTTGACCCCTTCACAGTATAATTTAAATAATATTTCACACCTAAGTTGTACAAAAAAAAAGTGCATAGCCAGTATAGTTACAAAGTGCTGTCTATTAGTACAGAACATTGAGAGTTCCTTGATATACTCAGGGTGTCAGTGAGAGCAGAAAGACATAAGATGGTTCATGGAGAAAAGAAAAAAAAAAAAAAAAAAAAAGCCGAATCACTGAGGATTTTACTGAGTGTAGGAACAACAGGTAATACAAATTTGTAATCCTGGAAATCAAGACTATTCACCAAGAAATGAGTAGCTAAGCAAAACAATGCACTTTTGCAGGTTTCCATTATACTAATTATTAGAGTTAATGTTGTATTGGCGACACATCGCTGAACCAGAGACATTTTCCAATTCCTATTTTGGTGATTTGGAGGAAGGCCATGAAAGCAGCTTGCATTTAATGGTACATGATTTCTTACTCATAGTAGCTAATCATTTACATAATTCAAGACATATAATTTATTATTTACAAAGTTTATGTTGAGTCCCACAACTGTTACACTTTCTTGCAACATTGCCAGGGCTTAAGATATGATTCATTCTCTCTACTCTGTATACTATATTATTAAATGAACAAATCCACAAGGGCCGTGATGAGGATTCGAACCTGCGTCTGGGAGCATCCCAGACACTGCCTTAATCGACTCCCGGACGCAGATTCGAATCCTCGTCACGGCCCTTGTGGATTTGTTCATTTGATGCATCACGTTAGTGTGATCTCTGTGTGTATATTATTAAATTTGATTGCAAATCAATAATGATCACTTGTGTGGGAGCAAAGTTACCCTACAACAATATTCAATGAATATTTCAAGTGCTGCTTTTGGGCTTTTGGTACCAGAGGACAAGAACATATTCAATAACAACCAACATTTCTTGAGAGTTTGTAAATAGCAAACATAAGTATCATCATTGCATTTGTCAGATTTCTTACAACTACTGCACATCAGTACTTTATTAGTACACATTTGCATAGCAAATATTGAGTATCCACCCAGAGGGTAAACAGGAAAATATCTTGAATCATGACAATATGGTGCGAGTGAAGTTTCCCTTTAAATCAAGATATACATCCAACCCCCATTGTGGTGATGTCATCTCAGGCAAAGTGGTCTAAGAGAAGTAATTCAGTCACAGCAAAGTTTTAGGGTAGGAGGAGGAGGGAGGATGATGGTCCCACAATCACACTTTTGAGCGAGCTAGTCTAGATGTAGTGTCAACTTATAATGTGGTATTCCAAAAATAGCAGGAAGGCCAAAAAAGCAATAAAAAAAACAATTTTGCTTTCACTATGTGAATGAAAACTTAACATATGTAATCAGTTTTCCCATTACACAAAACAAAAAAATTAATTCAAATAAACAGAATATATACAAGGGAATCTATTTTGATATCCATGGTCATTTCACAGCTATTGGAAGCTGATAAATAGAGAACAAGATAGCACCTAATCTACATCATCCCATAGTAAGAGAAACGGCATTCTTTTGAACAAGAAAAAAGGTGCCACCACTTTGTGTATCTATTCTTCTAGATGATTATTTTGTTTACAAAATAACACATTAGTGGCCCTCTACTTCTTCCATCTCTTACCTAGCAATAATTTAAGATTCACTGTCTTGGATTAGTACCCTCATTATTTATGTGGGAGGTTTGCATAAAATAGGTAATTTAATATAATAAGTAATACAGTAATCAGAAGTTTTTTAATTATTAATATGTTTATAGAGATGTTGCTTCAGCTTTGGCATATTTTGAGGAGAGTATATGCATTTGTGACATTTGAGAGGTTGATCCAAGAGTTTTTCGCCTGCTATAGGAGTCATTGTTACTACCATCCCACGTTCCTCCAAACATCGAATAACATCTGGAAAAAAAAGTGTTTTAATTATTGATAATTTTAATTGGAACTACTGTACTGGGAAAATTCTGATAATTTTTGTGCTCACTTTCCATGTTCAAGTAAATAAATGTAGCCACAACAAGTTGAAGTAATTATGAAGGAGCAATTTTTTACACCTGCACTCATCACAGTAAAGAGGTACAGTATGTTTACTGTGCTAGCTTGCATGACCGAGGCTATCATCTTCTAGTATTAGCCTGACCTGTCATCTTTGGTATCTGACTAAAGCTCCCACTTCCAGAAATAGAACTATCAATATCCTAATCACATGCAGACACATTGCCCTAAATAGAAATAGAAATGAATAGAGAAACAACCAATAGCCAGCCTCATTTCACAGAATTGAAGTAAGAGGGTACTGGAGGGAGAATTTGTCAAAATGGCCAGACCCTATTAGACCTCTTCTGACAACACATTGACTGCACATTGTGGACATGTCTGGGGAGTGCCACAGTACTGCCCCTCTAGCACCACAGGGAGGCCTACAGTGGTTCCTTGGTTATGACTAGTGTTCAGGAGAGCCATCACGTAAAACCATTAGACTCGGTTCCAAGAAGGACATGAGGTGCTCAGTTTGATTGGAAGAGCATTCACAACTAGCAGCCAAATTGAGCATGCGTCCCTAACCTTTAATGGCCAAGAAACTAGAGTGGCAATGCCCAAGCCGTGCTTGAACAAGATCATGGGTTATTAGTTGAATGTGCTTTTCTAGTTGTGGGTTTGGCTTTATTTAATACTGACAATAACAAAAGTTCACTATCTTTACTATATGTTATTGAATAAATATTCACTTACTGTACATTATTAGGTCATACAGTACTCCTAATAATCTCGGCTTGGGATCTTCAGCCAGCATTGAAATTATGCGTATGAAATGATGGTGATCTCTCATGTGCAGCCAACAATGATTTTGAAATGCCTACCAAAAACACACAACCAGTGTGTGCTTCTATGTGGATAAACAAGCCAGGTACACTGCCTGAAAAAGTAATGTTTCTAATCCAGGATCATTGGGCATATGTTATCAAAGTAATTCCTTTAATACTTCTAATGTGTTATGAATATCACTGACAAAGTATTATCACAGTATATTAATTAATAAATAAAACAAAAACATTAAAGATTATAAAATAGGATTATAAAAGCACTGGAGCAGAATGTTCATGCAGTGTCTAGTAACAAAGTACCTTGGAGAAATGCCCATTTAATATTACTGGAATCTCTCCTTGTGGCTGTGTGTATGAAATGACTAAAGCACTTGTGAGAGGCTACTGTGATTTACATTGAAAGCATGCATCTAACTTTTAACTTGTAGTATTTTTATATCAACATTTCATTGGTGCTTCCTTAAAAATAAAAGATTTATATGATTTCCACTGTTCAAGAAAGAAAGCCTATTTGGCTTATTGAGGTCTCTCAAGGCCAAAAACTGACTTTTCTCAGGAAATAAAGGCCAGGACCTTTCAGTTGTAAGCCAACTGCACTGACCGCTGTGAAAAAAAAGGTGAATACTGTACTATATTATACACCAAAATAAATCTATTTGTGTTTACAGTAAACAAACTTTGCTTCATTATATAATTTCTATTATTTATTTCTTATAAGTCAAAGTCTGTGATTTATATAACTGGTAGCTGTCCTTTCTGATTAAATAAGTGATGATAAAGAAAACACACTATTCCTTGCAAAATGTTATAACAGCATGGGGGTGCTTGTATGTACAGTATTATGTCAAGAATATGAGAGAGAGAGAAAAAAAAAAAAAAAAAAAAAAAAAAAAAAAAAAAACCATGACAATGTCAACGCCATCTGTTGAGCGCCCCTGTCCCCATTTTCTGTTTCCCGGTGGAAGGCTGTGATCTTACCGACACCAGTGTAGTTTCTTTCTTACTATACAATTTTTACTCCTCAGAAGTGACGTGGGTGGTATCTTGGTCGATAAGAATGACTTCACCCAGGGCAGTCCTGAACTCAAGACTTGTTCCAGTGGGAACAAGTGGGCCGAGTCAGTGGAGACAGTGAATTGTCTGTGATACCCAGTGAAGTATTGGTGATTGGACCGACATATCCCAGGATGACCCAGTTGTGTTACTAGATAGAATTAATATCTGTTTGTTCTCTAAGTTCATGTTTTTTATAGGGGAAACCAGCCAGCCAGCATGTTGCTGGAGTCAAAAGTGGTGTTTAGACACTGTGATGATACTGTAGAGGGCTGACCAATGATGGACTGAGAAAGGTGGACTTGCCAGCATGAGTACCATAAAAGCATATACCATCTTAAGTTATCTTAAGATGATTTCGGGGCTTTAGTGTCCCCGCGGCCCGGTCCTAGACCAGGCCTCCACCCCCAGGAAGCAGCCCGTGACAGCTGACTAACTCCCAGGTACCTATTTACTGCTAGGTAACAGGGGCATTCAGGGTGAAAGAAACTTTGCCCATCTGTTTCTGCCTCGTGCGGGAATCGAACCCGCGCCACAGAATTACGAGTCCTGCGCGCTATCCACCAGGCTACGAGGCCCCTCTCATGTGTATTATATATATATATATATAAAACGATGAACTGTAATGCCAATCCTGACTTTAAAAGCTTCATTGAAGGTTGTAACAGAACCCATGAGCACCACACCAGAAACAAATACCTTTTTGATATTCCAAGAGTACAACTTAATCAAACTAGAAATGCTCTACAAATCAAGGGACCCAGAATGTGGAATGACCTTCCCAATCATGTTAAAGACTGTACCTCTCTTAACCAGTTTAAGATAAAAACTAAGCACTACCTAATTAACTCTCTGTAACCTACCTTACCCCTATAATGTCAACCCATGTCTGTTATTTTTAAACAATGCTGTTTGTTGACCAAATTATATTTTTGCTGTTTTCCTGCCATGTTCCCCCCTTTTTTATTTTTATATTTTTCTCAACACATTTTATACTTTAATCTCAATTAGTATTAAGTTTTAGTCTTTAGTGTTTTTCCTGCCCGAAACGCTTTGCATAATAGTGGCTTTAGGCATTGTATGTACTAGCTCTATCTATAAATTCATCAAAATCTGTATCACCCTTTGTATGTATGTACTTTGCCTAAATAAACATTTGAATCTGAATTTGAATTTGAAAAAGAAAGATTCAGGGAAGGAACCTTGAGTGTTGTATGATAAAATACAGAAGTGAACTCGCTGGGATAAAAGATCGCAGAAGTTCTTTTGTAGTGTCCTGTGTGAAAGTGACACCTGCGGTGTTGTGTTGTAAATATGTAATAAGTGTATATAGTTAAGAAGTACATGTGGTGTTTTGTTTAGTGTTGTTTACCTTCATTCCCGTTGGACAGACTATTACTACTCGGTTTTTAATAACTTACCTGTGACTCTGGGTTGGATCTGGTAAGAAGGCCCCATAGAAAGTTTGAATGAAAAGAACCCAGTTACTGGCTAACAGACTGACCGATATAACTTACATGGTGCATGACAAGCAGATAGAAACCAGCCCGTCCTCTTACAAATAACGTTTCTTTTGGCTCGTATGCAAACTAAAGCTAAAAATTGCAGTACTAGAAAATGGATAGAAAGTTTGAATGAAAAGAACCCAGTTACTGGCTAAATGAAGCCGTAACAGACAGACCGATATAACTTACATGATGCATGACAAGCAGATAGAAACCAGCCCGTCCTCTTACAAATAACGTTTCTTTTCGCTCGTATGCAAACCAAGGCTAAAAATTGCAGTACTAGAAAATGGAAGTGGCTCGCAAAAGTGACGTACTGTCTCGTTTTCTGTTTTGGGTCCTCTGGCTTAGTTTACTAGGTTAGGAGAGGACACTAACAGTCTTCATGATGTTTTGAAATCTAAGGAGAACTTCCTGCTCTCCTAACCTTCCAAAGGCCCAAAATGTGCTGTTTTGGGTCCATTTAATTTGGAAAATAAATTACCATTTTCTAATATGACAATTTTTGGCCATAGTGCATACGAGCAAAAAGCAACTTTATTTGTAAGAGGACAGGTTGGATAAACAGTGATTGACAGATACATATACACATACATAACTAACGTCTTATACTTGGTGTCCAAGCCCAAAGTAATCCTTTGCCCTTTATTGCCTGAAACGCTATGCGTGTTAGTGGATTTGCAAGAATGTAAAAATACCAATATTATGTAATCTCACAAACCTAATGTACCCTCTTGTAAATAAATAAATAAATGACAGGTGGAAGGTACATGGAGGAGAAATGACTGATTTAGTTTGCACTTCTGTTTCTAGAAACACACTCCATGTGCTGAATGGGGGTATGCCAGTTACTGATTAATAGCCATGCACACTTTGTTACATATCAAGATAATTATTAGAATAACAGTGAAGACATTTCGACTGTTACATTACATTTTTGTAGTAAATTTATAATACATTACCCAATAAAATGAGTGAAAACTAGCCTGCACTATCCAGAAAGTAGCGTGTGTTGAAGGAGTTCCAGTGACGTTTTGTCTTCAAGCATGGAGAGTCAAAATCTTGACTAATCATGTGCAGGTGCAACTGAGACATACTAGGAATTGCATGGTATCCATACCTGTTAGAAATAAGCAAGTATTAATGTGCAGTACAGCATATACAATATTAATAAATCTGACTAGATACTACAGTAATGACAGGAGTAACTGATTTGAGTTGAAATGGCAATGAGGTCCTGGAAATGCCATGTGGTTGCCAACTGTATACATATTATTGAGAATTCTATGTGAAAAACAGGATACATACCCAAGCATTGAATTAAATACAGTTCATAAAATGTTAAAAGTACTTATTTTATTTTACAATTCTTATTTGCACAATAATAAATCCACAAAATTAGAAATACTGTACAGTATTTTGATCACAGGCAAACATCCATGAGTATAGAGTGCTTGGAGCTATATGTGCAGAGGATTTTCTTCCCTGTGTGCTCCCTAGAGCTGCTCTTGCACTGCCAGGGTCCTCTTCCCTAAAGTGTTCAGGGTTCATTTCCTTAGAGGGCTTCCTTGCTTATGGTGGTCCTCGCCCTGAGTAAGTCCATTTGTTTTTTATTTTCTGTCTTTCCTCAGATCAGGAGCGAGTTTTAGTTGGCAGAGCACAATGGGATTTGTACAATCTAACCACTGCATGCCAAGGTAGGCCTTCTCAAACTTCAGTAAGCTTGGTCTGCTTATACAGTACTCGTTTCAGGGTCTATCCGACTCTTCCGTCAAAGAGGGGCATTTTCTTGCACCTCTCCATGTCTGTTTGCCCCACTCTCCTGTAGGACATTGGGATGCAGCTCCATGTTGAAGATCCATAGTGGTCGGTTACACTGGTGCGGTAGACCTTTGCACTCATTGCACCTGGGCACTGTCGTCTGCTTCTCGAGCCTCTGGAGCTGCATTAAGTTGGTTTCCCACCTTTTTTCCAGTCCAGAATCGGGTTTCTCCAGGTCTTACATTCTTCCTTGCTCTATCCAGGTTGAATCGGTGCATTCCTTGCCCCTCCTTTTGGGTGGCCCTCTTGTTCCGGGCCCATCTCAAACTCAAATTGGGCACTTTTTGATTCCCCTGTACCTTCTGGACGCATCCTGGGATCCTCCAATACTTCTGGGGTTTGGGGATTGGTTAACTTTATTGTGGAGTGACAGGTTCCCCTTCTCGGGTCCTTCCGTTTGGCCTCTGGCTCCTCACGTTTTACGTGTTTTGCTCAAGTAATAGGGGCCCATCTTTATTTTCTTGGTGTTATCGTCCTGGCCTACGTCAATGACTGGGTGATGTAGACTCCCAGCCAGTCTGCATGTCTGCTGGCCAGGGTTCAGGATTCTTCTCCGGTTCCTAGTGAATTGGCAGAAGTCCCTTTGGTTCTGGCCCGGGTTCGGACTTGACCGGGCCTCATTTGAGACTAGATGTCAACATCATTGGCCCTGCCTCTGGTGGACTTCCATGGCTGCTGCACCGCTTTGGACCCGTTGCACATCACATGGGAGAACTCTTTGCTCTCCTTTAGCGCTGGGGTGTTTGTTCTTTTGGCCTTGGGGGTCGGTATGTTCGTCCGCAGCTGGGTCCTACTTTTATGGAGAAAGATAAGTCGGTTGGCTTCTATAGGGGTCCAATGGTATTTGATGCTTGCTCGGTTCAACCAGGGGTGTGTCACGTTCTCTGTCTGGCGACAGCTCACTGCCACTACCTTCATGCCCCCACTTCTGCTTTGGTGGACTTGTTGTAAGTTGATCCCGTTTTCCTGGTTCCCTGTTCTACGGCTTGTGTTTTCCAAGTTGTCCGCAGTGTTCTTGAGCTGCAGTGTCCAGCCTGCAGTCTACTCTCGTGCCCATGCCATTCGTCTGTTTGCCACTCTTGCCTGTATTTGCCAATATGTCTTGGGCTGATTTTTAGCTGCAGGGTTATGGTGGCCATGCAGGTCCCCTGCAACTGGGTATCTCATTAATGATCCTGGTCCTCGTCGGCCTTGGATGGCTTTGGGTCGTATGTTTTAGCCTCGTGGTGTCTTCTTCCTTTTCTGGGGAAGAAAAATAGCCACAAGGGAGGACTATCCTCCAGAAAACTAGTACCAGTATTGAATATAATAAAATGCCAATTTCTGGGCGAGCTCTAGTGGCTCCCTGACACCCTCCCTCACCCAAAGAGTCTGGGGTGGTCTTTCCATCATCATAGAACTGAGGGTGGAGTAGCCGGCTAACCCAGTCTGCCTCCCTAATTCCCCCAAACGAAGGAGGGGAAAGGTGGGACAAATGAGCTTGCACTAGTTTCATAGCTTTTCAATCATTTGTTTATATTATTGGGGGAGTTCTTTTGATGAGTCTGAGGTAGAGATATTTCCTTAAACCAGCAGTGGTCTGTTTTGTCTTGCTGACTTTGTGGGTTATCTTGAGATTCTTGAGGTTACCTTGAGATGATTTCGGGGCTTTAGTGTCCCCGCGGCCCGGTCCTCGACCAGGCCTCCACCCCCAGGAAGCAGCCCGTGACAGCTGACTAACACCCAGGTACCTATTTTACTCCCAGGTAACAGGGGCATAGGGTGAAAGAAACTTTGCCCATTGTTTCTCGCCGGCGCCCGGGATCGAACCAGGGACCACAGGATCACAAGTCCAGCGTGCTGTCCGCTCGGCCGACCAGCTCGCTTCCCTGGTGATGGCAGACATGATTCAATTCACTGGCAATTTGATCGTAGTGTTACTGCTCTCTGCACCTCTTTAGAAGGGTCCAGGTTCTGGCTCATGGTCCCAGTAGGCCTAAGGGAACTCCATGACTAATGGCACCTAGTAGTTTGGCACTGTATCAGCATTGTAGCTTCAGGGAGCCACTGGGGTTCACCCAGAAATTGGCGTTTCATTACGTTCAACATTGGTTTTTTGTCCAGTAATGGTACTCCCCCGCTACCTTCATGTCACCAATTCTGCCTCGGTGGATGCTTTTTTGGGGTGATCCAGTTTCCTTGGTTCCTTCTTTTAAGGCTCATGTTGCCGAGGTTGTCTGCAGTGTCATCAAGTCTACCCAGCCTCCTGCTTTCCTTCATGCCAGTGATGTTCAGAAGTGTCCTGTTCTCGGAGTGGTTTTCCTAACATATCCTGGACTGATATTCAGGCACAGGGGCTTTGGCAGTCTAACAGGGTCCTTGGAGCCTGGTATATGGTTAATGTTCACAGACCTCGTCATGCTTGTGTCACCTTGGGCTGTCTCTCTCAACCTGGAGTCTCATCTTCATTCTGACTGTTTGGGGTTTATCCTCCTCCCTACTGAGTTCCTCTCATTCTTCTCTGTGGGTAGTTAGCTTCAGGAAGCCACAAGGTGCTCCCACCAAAAACCCAGCATTGAATGTAATGAAATTCCCTTTTCTTGGTGAGCTCTGCGATTCCTTTTCCTCCTTCCAAGTTGTCGGTTGGAGTTTTTTCATTTGCGCATCTGCTCTAGAACTGGCTTCATAACCCAATAGGCACTAGAGGCTTCTGGCCCCTTCACAACTAGTGGAGGGGGGGAGGTAATGCTAGCGAAATTCAATGAGAAACCAGGTCTCCTCTAGAAAGAAGCATAACATTACATTCAATGCTAGGTTTCTGGTGGGAGCTTCGTGTGGCTTCCTGAAGCTAACTACCAGCAGAGAAGAAAGGAGCTCACCAGGGATGAGAATCAACTGCAGGCAGTCAGAATAAAAATGAGACTCCAGACCAAGAGAGACAACCAAAGGTCACACAGGTATGACAAGGCCCATGAACAATAACCAAATACCAGACCCCCAGAACCCTGCTAGACTGCCAAAACCCTGTGCCCAAATATCAGCCCAGGATATGTTAGCAAAATCTGCTGCAAGAGCAGCATACTGTACTTCCAAACATCATTGGGTACATTCAATGCTGTTTTTTTTGTACTGATATTTTTTTCAATCTCATGATATTCATTCCACTTGTTAACCACCCATACAAAGCAAGAGTGTTTCCTTACATTTCTTTGACTCATTTCCAGCTTCCGTTGAAGTAATTTTGTCCTATTTTCCATCAGTTTAATACTTTGCTACAAGTCAGAATCATACAAATAATGATAAACATTTATTCCACATGCTTAGACAGTTTCTACATCATGTAATGTTCAATCATACATCTTGCCTTCAAAACAGGACTTTGAACTCTGTAGTTGCTGCCATCTTTTGGAAAAATAAGAAAAAGTCATGACTTGAGGTAGCTTTAAAAAATGCCAAGAATACCTCCCTCAATATCCAACATTCACACTTCACACCTATTTTAAGCTTTTATTTTAGACGTAACTGATCTGTTGTTTTGTACATCATGACATAAGTCAAACTGATATACTGAACAATGCACCTTCCCAGTCTGGACCTCCCGGTAGCAGATCCCTCTAACCAGTGGACAAAATCCATCCACCCGCTTTACTCTCTGGAATTCAGATTTCTAAACAAAAATGGAATTCAGAGAAGGAAGCAACAAAATATTAATCATTGTCTCAATGCAGAGGAATTTCTATTAAATCGTATTTGTTTTTCTTATTTTTGCTAATATTGCTTTTTAATTTGTAAATATTATTCACAACAGTGCATTTATATTTTTTAAATGTTTTATTAAGCTTGTACAGCTTAATAAAATTAAGCTATAAATAAAATAAATGATAAGGGATTTGTGGATATGTGGGCCTGCAGGCCGCTCCAAGCAACAGCCTGTTGGACCAAGTTATCACAACTCGACAGGCCGGGCTCTTGGAGTAGAAGAACTCCCAGAACCCTCTCTAGGTATGCTCCGGGCAAGTATGGTAAGTTTCAAGACAGTACAGTATGAAGAAGCATTATCAAAATATAGCACAGAAACTAAATACATAACAGAAAGAAACCATAAGGTATGGTTTAGCCAAGGATACCCTAACAAGTATACATAGCATTGTAATTATAAATATTATTTTTATAAATTCTGTACAAGTACAGAACAAACACATGGAATACTTTGGTTGAAATTTCTAGAATAAATGCACAGTGCAATATTGCTATTGGTACAATTACTAGGCGAGTGCAATATATACAGTATTTAAATAGGTCTGAAAAAGTTTGAGTAATAAAGCTAAATATAGTATCATTATTTAAAAACAAATTCATTAGTACTGTACAGCATACTAAACATTCATTATTTTAAAAATCTTACCTAAATTCAACCTGTGGGTACTTTGCTGCTAATAGGTGACACTGTTCCTCCATATATCGCAGTAACTCACTCTGCTCTCTCTTGAGTGATTTTAAGTTTGGAATATTTAACTTGGGTATTACCAAAAAATGGTAGCGTGCCTGAAAAAGGTTGAACACTTCCATTAATTGAAGCACTGTTATACTTGTACAGAACATTATTACATTATTATAAAACTCTATTAAGCACTTCCTTTTGACAGAGCTATTGTAGTATAAAATGAATTTAGAAAAAACCCAGACAAAACTGGCAGGACTCTTCATAAATCTGGATCCAGCTCTGGGGCCAAATCCTTTTGTATGCAAATATGGTTATACTGTATACATGGTAATGGTAATTAATAAAGTTTTGACATTTCTTCAGAAACATATTTCCACGTCTTTTAATTAAAGGTGTGCCAATGTATCGGAAAAACTTCAGCAGGCATTGGTGACATTTTTTTTTACACAGGTGGGCAGAGGAGATGACCATTTCCTGTTAGCAGGCCTGGAGCTTTGCATCCAACAGATTATCACAAGCTTTGCTCTGCCTGTCTTTCTTGGGACAAGCGCTTTCAAAACTTTAACTTACAACCAGGTCCCAATTATTGCTGGATGAACAGCTAAGGATCAGTGACCAATCATCTCTCCATTTAAAGAGCCCAAACCCAGTACACTATCACTGATGAAATGTGGGATGAGCATGCTACTGCTGTACCACAGGCATTGTGACAATTTCTTATCTACCACAATACATCTTTCTCAAAATAAGAATTTGTTTCATATTGATCATGGTCCATATGCACCTACCATCATGCATTTGCACAAAGATATTGCTTATTCAGTAATACATTACTTTTATTATTATCAAACCAATTCTATTTGCTGACGACACAACCTTCATTTACTCCAGTCCTGATCCCCTTGCTCTAAATGCCACAGTAAATACTGAGCTAAATAAAGTCCATCTGTGGCTAACTGCCAACAAACTCACCCTTAACATTGACAAAACCTTTTATATTCTGTTTGGCAATAAATCCTCTAATCAAATAAATCTCAAAATAAACAATACCCAAATTTGTAACAAATTAGATGGCAAATTCCTTGGCATTCTCATTGACCACAAGCTTAATTTCCAGGGACACATTCTAAACATATAAAAAAAGTTTCAAAACTGTGGGCATTCTTTCTAAGATCAGATATTATGTACCACGCCCTGCCCTGGTGACTCTCTATTACTCCCTTATCTATCCATATCTCAACTATGGTATTTGTGCTTGGGGCTCTACTACCCAAAATCACTTACGCCCTCTAATTACTCAACACAAAGCTGCTATTAGGACAATATCCAATTCTGGCCCCAGACATCACTCGGTACCCCTACTTAAATCTCTGAATATGTTAGACATTAAGTCACTGCACATTCTCTCATGTGTATTATACATATATAAAACGCTAAACTATAATGCCAATCCTGATCTCAAAAGCTTCATAGAAGGTTGTATCAGAACCCATGAGCATCACACCAGAAATAAATACAGTTTTGATATTCCTAGAGTACGACTTAATCAAACTAGAAATGCTCTACAAATCAAGGGGCCCAGAATGTGGAATGACCTTCCCAACCATGTTAAAGACTGTACCTCTCTCAACCAGTTTAAGTTAAAAGCGAAGCTATACCTAATAAATTCCCTGTAACCTACCTTACCCTTCTATTGTCAACCAATGTCTGTTTTTTTCTTTAAAGAGCACTGTTTGTCGACATAATTGTATTTGTGCTGCTTTTTCATCTATGTTTTCATTTCTTGTTTTCATTCTACTCATTATGCTCAATTAGTATTAAGCTTGTCATTTAAGTTTATCATGCCCGAAACGCTTTGCGTAATAGTGGCTTTAGGCATTGTATGTACTAGCTATACCTATAAGTTAAACAATCCTTGTAAATATTTATTGTATGTATGTACCTTACCTAAATAAAATTGTAATTGTATTTTGTATTTTGTATTTTTGTATTATTCTTGTTAACTTATTTTAGTCATGGATACCTACATGTGAGTGGTAGATGAGGAAATCAGGCAAAATTTCCAGGCAAAATCTGGCAAAATTTCCCTGAATTTCCAGGGACACATTCTAAATATAGCAACAAAAGTTTCTAAAACTGTTGGCATTCTTTCTAAGATCAGATATTACATCACCCTGCCCTAGTGATGCTCTATTAACCTCTCATCTATCCTTATCTCAACTATGGTATTTGTGCTTGGGGGTTCCACTACCCAAAATCATTTACGTCATCTAATTATCCAACACAAAGCTTCTATTAGAACCATATCTAACTCTGGCTCCAGACAGCACTCAAATCAAAAACTCTGGCCCCTTACTCAAATATCTGAATATGTTGAATATTAAGTCACTGCACATCCTCTCATGTGTACTCTATATATTTAAAACTCTGAATTGTAATGTCAATCCTGACCTTAAAAGCTTCTTAGAAGGTTGTAACAGAACCCATGGGCACTACACCAGAAACAAATACCTATTTGATATTCCAAGAGTACGACTTAATCAAACTAGAAGTGCTCTACAAATCAAGGGTCCCAGAATGTGGAATGACCTTCCCAATCATGTCAAAGGCTGTACCTCTCTCAACCAGTTTAAGATGAAAACTAAGTACAACCTAATTAACTCCATGTAACCTACCTTACCCCTAAATGTCAACCCATGTCTTACTATTTTTAAACAATGCTGTTTGTTGACCAACTTATATATTGGATATTTTCTACCATATTCCCCCCTTTTTAATCTTTTATTTTTTTTATTTCAATGCAATTTATACTTTAAGCTCAATTACTATTAACTTTTAGTCTAAGTGTTTTTCCCCACCTCACCTTGCCCGAAACACTATGCGTACTAGTGGCTTTAGGTATTGTATGTACTAGCTCTATCTATAAATCCAACATTATGTTTGTAACTAATCCTCTATGTATCTACTTTTACCTGAATAAACATTTGATTTGATTTGATTTGAAAATATTATGGCAACTATAAATTGAGCTTAAACACAAAAAGGACATCACTCTTTGATAGTATAGTATTCCACATTAGCAAATTTACATAGATTTTGCCAAGCATTTAGAACATGTTGTAACCCTTCCCCATACACCATAAATTGCAATGTATGTAGGCCTGATAGATGAGCTGGAGTATCTATAATATTCATCTACAATAGAAACATACATGTATGACAAATCACAGGTGCTTTGAGATATGTCTTCTCCATCACTTGATTAAAAAAAAAAAGAAGGCAGTCCAATGTTGGGTTATAATTATGAGGACAATCCTTAACTTTAGTGTTAAACAAGTTGAACAACTGTGTGACCAGCTGTTCAGGTGCTTAAGCAGACAGGTGTGGACTGGAAGGGGGGGAGGGAGGAATACAATCTAAATAAATTCGGTACAGTAGTGTAAGCACAATACAGTACAAAAGCTTGTCTGTCCAAGTTTCAGGCCAGATGCTTGGGGCTAACCTCACCCAGCTTTGCAGGGTGAATGGTCTGGGGTACAGCATGGACATAGACCAGTTGGGATCAACTCCAGTGCCAATATTAACAAATATTGACCTCTAACCCAGCCTGCTGTGTGATTTTTAATATCTGAAATCTTGAATGTATTTTCCATAGAGTTTTGAAGTAACTCCTGCCATTTACCAGCACATTTTCATCATTTATTTGAAAACAATGAACTGAATTAATATAGGTTACAATTTTCATTTGTATGTACTGTATATGTGTATACATATACATGCATATGTGTGTAGGTATATGTACATATACATATGTGAGTACATATACATATGTGTACATATACATACATATATGTATACATATACATACACATGTGTACATATACATACACGTGTACATATACATATATATGTGTACATATACATATATATGTGTACATATACATACATATATGTATACATATACATACACATGTGTACATATACATACACGTGTACATATACATACATATACATACACGTGTTTACATATGCATACACATGTGTGTATATATGCATACACATGTGTGTACATATGCATACACATGTGTGTACATATACATACACATGTGTGTACATATACATACGCATGTGAGTACATATACATACACGTGTGTACATATACATGCATGTGTGTACATATACATACATATGTGTTTACATATACATACACATGTGTGTACATATACATACACACATATATATACATGTGTGTACATATATATACATGTGTGTACATATATATACATGTGTGTACATATATATATATATGTGTGTGTATATATATATATACATGTGTGTACATATATATATATATATATATATATATATATATATATATATATATATATATATATATATATATATATATATATATATATACATGTGTGTACATATATATACATGTGTGTACATATATATACATGTGTGTACATATATATACATGTGTGTACATATATATACATGTGTGTACATAATGTCACTACGTAGGTCATTACTACTTGTCATGGCGCGCTTACTTTGTTTTTCAAATAATATAAGATTAAACAAATTTAACTAATGTCTGTTGAGCTTTATGTATTAGTATTCAAATGAAAATATAGTTACATCATTGTATGTTAGACAAATAATTTAGTATACTGTATATAATTTAAACGTAGATTGTATACTAAATCAACTATATATACATGCTTTGCAACTCTCTCACGTGTATGTGAAAAGTTACGACGTTTCGTTAATTTCATTGTAACTGCTCTTTTTTAAAGCATATATTATAACAGACGAGTGAAGAGTTGAGACAGTAGTTGAAATTGAAATAAGTTTACTGAGGTAAAATACACACAAAGGGATGAGGTAACTTAAGCTATTCTCACCCCGTTCAGTACATCGTGTCAATACATAAATATACACACATCACAAACAATAAACATATTACCAAACATTGTGAGAGATCAACATGTACATTTGGTAAAGGCAGGTGTGGAGGAGGAGGAGGAGAGGGCGTGTGGGCCGGACAGGCAGGTGTCAAGGGACATCCGTCCGTCCTCACTACTAAACTCAACAGCAAATCGGACCGTATACAGGGCACAACAAAGACCACAGTCGGCCATCACCCACCGCTACACCACTGGGCTCTTTTGCCCAGACTTATTTTACCTTGGGATACTTGTCTTTGATGATAACGATCCGATCGTCTGATTCTACGAGGAGATTGGGGTCGTTCATGGAAGTCAGGAGTCCCTGTGACCAGTGAGTCTTCTTCGCTGGCGGTAAAGGTGTAGAGTCAGAAGCAGCTCTCTTGCTAGGTGTAGCGGCCGCCATCTTGCACCGCCATACCTCTTCTCTCTCCTCCCCAGCAGCCCTCCCATACCCCCTCCCACCCATATAAACCCCCTCGGCTCTCACACCTCTCTACCTCACCCCACTAACAACTTCCACTCCATTTCCCCCCCTCCCTTTTCTCTCCCCTCCTCTCCCGCCTCCCTCGGTAACTCCCACCACCGCGCCTACGAGTTAAATGCTGCTATTCTAAGCATATGTATAGTAGAGCAATTTAGATTTCTTTTACTTTCTGGGGGACTACTGAGCCTTCCTAATAACAAATTGAAGCAGTTACCCTACCAATGAATCAATATATCATGTTATTTACAAATATTTAACTAGATCAAAGCTAGCATATATAATTTTCAGCTGACATTCCTATCTAATTCATATAATCCATCGCTATGTTAATTCATATAAAAATATGTATACATTGATTATAATATATACATACAAGGTGCACTATTATATATTTTTATTATTCATTAATATAAACAAGAGTTCTTACATTCTTGTACAGCCACTAGCACGCATAGCGTGTCGGGCAAGTCTTTAATCCTAATTTTCCCTGACCCGCCAAATCGTTAAACAAACAGGTACCCATTCACTGCTGGGTGAACAGAGGCTACAGTTAAGGATTGACACCCGATCAACCCGTCCTCGACTCAAGTCCATTACATCCAGCGGTCGACCCCACAGACGCATTCATAAACTTTTGCATGCTGTTCATTTGAAACGGGAATTTTCTTAACTATAAATTAATATTATAATATATTAGCATATTGTGCATATATAGGCATAGGTTAGGTTAGGTGTTTAGGTTCTGTTGGTGATTATCCAGTTCAAGTTCAAGTATGTTTATTGAGACGAAAGAAAAGCATCTCAAAGGGATTGAGTAGCTTAGGCTATTTCTACCCCCCTTCGGTGTTTATTTGTATTTTTAGTACGTGGGTGAAGTATTGTTCCTTCCGTTGTGGTTCGAACAAAATTCGTCAGTGAAACACTTGTTCCGTAAGTGTTCGTACGAAATCAGTTGTGAGTCGTGTGTAAACCGTTTTTCATTCATAAACAGGGGGTGTGGCGGGTGGATGGAATCACTTTTAGGTCTTTGTTTGGAGGAAATTGAAATTTAAATACGTTTATTGAGGTAAAAATACACACAAAGGGATGAGGTAGCTCAAGCTATTCTCACCCCGATCAGTACAACGTGTTCATACATATATAGACACATCACAAACAATAAACATATTACCGAATATTCTGAGAGATAAACATATACATTTCTTCCTTTACACGCAGTATGTTAGTGTTGTTTGGAGGACGCAACCCCAGGGAGGCCGGGCTGCAATCCTCCCGTATTCAGGAGGATTGCAGCCCGTATTCGAATATTCGTATCCTGTATATAAATATTCCATCAAAAGTTAGTTTTATAGGTAGATAATTGCAAAGGCTATACCTATGCTTCTAAATTCTTTAATAATTTGACAATTTTGAGAATGTTGCTCGAGACAACTTCTCCAAATTCTCCAAAAGGTCAGTTGTAACACAAAGAAGGAAAGTTTTAAGTTCAAAGAGCTGCAATTTAATGTATAGGGCCGAAAATAAGAGAAGCTTTTCACCTATAGGATTTTAAACCCATGGAACAGCCTATCCGCAGTAGCCATAAATGCCAAAAGTCTGTCGAATTTTAAAATTAGCTACAAACAAATTACCAAGACAAATGAGGGAACCTTTGACAAGCCGCCGGCTTGCTGTCCTCGTCGAGGCCACTAGAGTATTAGTGGTCCTCAGGTAAATTCAATTATAATGATGAAGTGTCTCGTTCGTTGTCACAGAGTTGATTTTAATTATTGTATTATTCAGCCATAGAATATAATTAGGTCCAGGTAGTACAGTCGGCTTCGTTCTCGACGCACAATCGAGAATTCCGGGTTCGATTCCCGGGCTGGAGAGAAATGGTTGGGCATATTTCCATTCACCTAGCAGTAATTAGATACCCAGAAGTTACTCAACTTGTTGTGGGGTTGTGTCCTGGGCACAATCAGGGTTGTGGGATTGTACCTGATCAACCAGGCTGTGATTCGTAGGTCAGGCTGCGAGCAGCCGCGTCCAACAGCCTGGTTGACCAGTCCAGCAACCAGGAGGCCTGGTCGACCAGTCCAGCAACCAGGAGGCCTGGTCGACCAGTCCAGCAACCAGGAGGCCTGGTCGACCAGTCCAGCAACCAGGAGGCCTGGTCGACCAGTCCAGCAACCAGGAGGCCTGGTCGACGACCGGGCCGCGGGGACGCTAAGCCCCGAAAACACCTCAAGGTAACCTTCCTGTCTCCCGACACAATGAATTATTATTAATTATAAGGGAAAAGTTCATATGCTCATGTTCATTATATGGGCTCGACAGGAATTAACTTAGTAGGCAAACTTGGGATACTTGTATATTATTTTGGATATACGTATAGTCACATAATTTGGGATTAAATATTTGGACATTTCTTGAATATTAATGATACATGTATTTTTTTATTATTATTCACTAAATTACTTAGTCATGTTAAATATGTGATCTGTTGACAGGTTACATTTGGTCAGATGTACTTTTAAGCAAAATAGTTTATGTTTGTGGTTAATTATTGTTACATATGCAGGCGATGAGTCACAATAACGTGGCTAAAGTATGTTGACCAGACCAACTCAAGTCGATTGTCACAATCGACTTGAGAATGGTCCAGGACGGACCGAAACGTCGTCGTCCCTTCACCTTCTAGTGTGTGGTCTGGTCATCATTGTTACATATCATTTTAATTTTCCTATAATGAGCACCACAGTATAGGAGGCGATGGAAAGATACAGTCAGGTGTATGCACTACAGTAAGCATACAAGCTTTGATGACTTTGCTAAAATTTCTGGTAGTATCCAGTATATATAAATTTTAATTAAATACTTTGACATTCCTTGAACATTTGTGATAGGAATCAACAAATTCTGGATATCGTTCACATTTCATTACATAGTGATCAAATGGGCGAATAGTCTAATTTGTCGACACAATTTACATTTGGCTAAACCTTGATCAGCAGGTGATACAAACTCTCAGAGATGTTTACACAGTTGAGCAATAGAATCATCGGTTAACGACATGGTCTAGTTACAACCTGGCCATACAGTCGGGTCTCAAGAAAAGGTATTTGAATCTGTTTACATAGTTAAAAGCTGGAATCTGTTTACATAGTTAAAAGCTGGAATCTGTTTACATAGTTAAAAGCTGGAATCCATAATACAGTTGATTTTTTTACGAACAGTTCCTTGCCGTCTGGGTGAGCGCCGATTTATCTTTTTTCTTGTTTGCTTGGATGACTAAGCGAAATATATACCAGTGGTATGGGTCATTATATCAGCACAACTAATGATGTGTTCACTAGATTTATTATGCATAGTTTACTAGCTAAGGAAACCAACCTGCGCGATGCCTTGTTCAAAGTCTCTTGTTACACTTTTATGCCCTTGGAACAATACAGATGACTTTCTGTTGAATAAGTTGTAATCTCTGTTACAGCAAAAGAAGCCACCTTCCAACATATATTCTGGCGAGCTCACTCACAATGACATGTCGGTTTGCAATGTCAAAGACAGACTTGCGATCTTGGATAGTAGTATATGACTTGTCGGTATGTAGGGTGAGGAAAGTGATATGCAGTCATACACACTTCTTCCATACATGAAACCATATATCTATTGAACGTGCGCAAGGCTCTTATTCTATGAAGGAAACGATTTAGGACTATTATCTTGATTGTTTTGCAGAGGCAACAAGTAAATGTAACTGAGCTGAATTTTTTTTATTAGGTTTGGGAATTAGTATGACGATACTGTTGGTCCGCGAGATATGGAGCAGTTAGTATGACAATACTTTTTTCAGGGATATTCCTGCGCGGGTCCTAAGTCTCCGGCTGGCCAACTAAGTGTTACTTGTTTCTTGTTTCTGTTTTACTAAGGCGGCGTATGAGTATTTATGACGCTTCAGTAAGATTTTGCCCAATGTGCTTAACAACTTCTTCTGCTGTTATGATAATACTGATCTCGTAGACCAATCAGATGCATGACGATACTGTTGGTCAACGAGATATGGAGTTCGCTTGTTGCATAGCTTATATTATACAGTTTAATTAAGGAGAGAATTTCTTAGTCTTAAAGGAAGTATAAAGGTAATAGGTCATAAGTGATACAATACACACTGGGGGAGGTGGCTTTCCCATAATTCATCTTCCTTATGGAATAGGAAATCAACGAGCCTTTGTTTTCGTGTCACGCATTCGATGTTAATTATGTGACAGCCATACTCTATGGCTAACTCATCAGCTATCATACACTCAGTGGCTGATACTATCATTAATAATGAGAAAATCAATTAGAGCAATGCGGAGGATTCGAACCCACGACCTGGGTGCCACCAAGCCGCGCACCTTACCCCTGGACCACAGTACAGTATCAGTTACGCAACGTGGGATTTCACTGAATCCACAGGACGTTTGAAGGCCCCAAATGAAGCCATTCCAGGAATTGGACCTCTCCACCACGCTTCAACATTACATTTATAAGGAAATCACGCTAACGTGATATATCAATGAGAAAATTCACTCCTGTACCAGAGTATACTGCTATTACAGTATTGAGATATTACGCATACCTCATTGTATCTACGGTATGCTTTGATACTATCGTCGGCTGTGCTATGTTCCGAACAGTCTTCCCTACTTCAGTGTGTTTATGTAGTGTGGATGGTTAGGCTACCTTGGATGTTTCTTTCTTCACACGTTCCTGGGTGCCACTTTTCTCTGTCTTTAATTCCCACAGCTCTCTGCCCTCCTCTTCACTTTGTCATCTCTGCCTCCTCTTCACTTTGTTCAATCTCTACAACCCTTGTATCCAGATTAGCTATTTTTCCTCTCTTCTATACCTCGTTCGTTCCTCCAAATTTATCTTTATTTCCCATGCTTATCTCATGACCTCACTGTGCATATATATATAACTAAATGTACATGTGTGTG